GGGAACTCGCACGAATTAGTGGATCAGGACCTACTCCAGCTCATGGCTTGGTTGATTTCAGGGGACCCTGGTCTGTCGCGGACGTTCCGCAAGCTACTACAAGACTCTTGGAGAGTGCCTGGGCACTGGGAACCAGAACAGCTTACAAATCCGCATGGGCCGTGTGGTCTGGCTGGTGCGTGGGAAGACTATTGGATCCACTTTCTGCCCCTCTGAAGGAGGTGCTCAGTTTTCTGACCACGCTTTTTGAATCTGGTTTGGCCTACCGCACTATTAATGTTTATAGATCGGCCATTTCGGCAGGACACCTAGGGATTGATGGATCACCGGTTGGACAACACCCCTTTGTGTGTCGATTGTTGAAGGGTATCCTTTTCTCTAGACCCCCGAGATTCAGATATTCATCGTTTTGGGATGTTAACGTAGTTCTTGCTTCCTGGAGTTGTGGCCCCTTAATGAGGAACTATCGCTGAAACAATTGTCCTGGAAGTTGGTTATGCTCCTGTGTCTCCTTTCATGCAAGAGAGTTTCGGATGTCAGAGCTTTGGACTGGAATGCAATATCCTTCCCCCCTGAGGGAGTGTTGTTTAACATCTCGAGAAGGACTAAGACGGCCTCTAAGTCGGTGGCTTACCTGAGGTGTTCAGTCTGTCCTGCTCTGTGTCCGGTGGCTTGCCTCTGGGTTTACTTGGATCGCACTCAACAGTTGAGGTTATTGGACTTGTCCCAGCTGTTTATTTCTTTTAGGACGCTGTTCCTACCGATCTCCTCGACTACGTTGGCTCGTTGGGTTAAGAATCTCCTTTCCACTGCGGGGATTGATACATCAATTTTTTCAGCTCATTCGGTCAGAGGAGCCATGGCATCCAAAGCCTCTAAGATGGGTTGTCGCTTGGATGATATTTTGAAAGCGGCGGATTGGTCTAGTGAATCTACGTTCCGTGACTTCTATTTCCGCCTGATTGACCATGTTTCTTCATTAGTTGTGGCTCAGCTTTGAACTAGCATAATAGGAGCCTCTGTGTCATTAATATAATTCCAAGATCTTACTATTAACATGACGTAAAGTCATGATTTTATTAATGACACGGAGGCGAGTATTATTCCCACCCGTCCACCCGGTGAGTATGTGTTGGGTCCCCAATTTTGGTTCAATTGGGAAGACCTTCTACCTCGCTGTAAGTGTCCCTGATTTCGTTTGATGTTCTGGGATATGGTATGGTCTTCATACTGGTATATATGTTATACTCAATATTTTCTATTGTTATATATAAGACGAATTGTCATGGTATATTACATACAGATCCGGAGTTTGGATTTTACCACCTATTTCTCTGTTTTTACAGCCTGATTTTGTTGTGATGATGTTTACCATGTTGGCGATTGTTTGTTCCTGAGGTGGATATTTCTTCAGTTGTTGGGTCTTCGGTTCAGAAGGCAAAGAAGAGGAAGTGGAAGTACACAGCAAGACATTTATGGACTGTTTCTATAAGCTGATTGGCTGCCCTGTTACTAGGCAGACCTGGTTGTATCTGTTATATATTATTCATATTACATATTTTCTCTTTGCTGCTGAGGAATAAAGTAAGAAAGAGCATAATACTTGCCTCCGTGTCATTAAAGGACCACTATAGTGCCAGGAAAACACACTCGTTTTCCTGGCACTATAGTGCCCTGAGGGTGCCCCCACCCTCAGGGTCCCACTCCCGCCCGGCTCTGGAAGGGGGAAAGGGGTTAAAACTTAACTTTTTCCAGCGCTGGGCGGAGAGCTCTCCTCCTCCGATCCTCCTTCTCTCCTCCCCGTCGACTGAATGCGCACGCGCGGCAAGAGCTGCGCGCGCATTCAGCCGGTCACATAGGAAAGCATTCATAATGCTTTCCTATGGACGCTGGCGTGCTCTCACTGTGAAAATCACAGTGAAAAGCACGCAAGCGCCTCTAATGGCTGTCAATGAGACAGCCACTAGAGGATTAGGGGGAAGGCTTAACCCATTAATAAACATAGAAGTTTCTCTGAAACTGCTATGTTTATTAAAAAATGGGTTAACCCTAGAAGGAATTGGCACCCAGACCACTTCATTAAGCTGAAGTGGTCTGGGTGCCTAGAGTTGTCCTTTAATAAAATCATGACTTTACGTCATGTTAATAGTAAAGTCTTGGAATTGTTGTGGGTCAGTCAGGAGATTGGTGAATGCTACCGATCTCTACAGTTATGTATGATACTCCATGTAAGTTGATGTAGAAGTAGGCCCCAAAACTCGAATGACATTTTTTTGTTAGACATTTTGTAAAAGACAGTTATAAGTTGGCAGTCTGAAGTTCCAGGCTGTGAAGAAGTATTGAAATATTATATTTCAATATTTAGCAGATTCATGAGATTCTCAAGGAGCAGCGTGAGATGGCATCTGCTCTAATCTGCTATCAAGTTCCACCCCAACCAGATTCATGATTATTATAATTATCATTATAAGTCTTTATTTATGAGGAGTCAACATATTCTATGATGCTGTAAAATCATGGGTTGATTAATAAATGCAATGCAAACCAGTTTGCCCTTAATTTATGTATACCGTATATACTCGTATATAAGTCGATCTCATGTATAAGTCGAGTGCAGTTTTGTGACCAACAATTGTGAAATATGCTATGCCTCGTGGATAAGTCGAGGGTAAAACTTGGGGCTATGAAATTCTGTGATTTTTATAATTATATACACACACTCATACAAACACACACTCTGCATTACATACACACACACACTCATACAAACACACACTCGGCATTATATATACACACACTCATACAAACACACACTCTGCATTATATACACACACACACTCATACAAACACACACTCTGCATTATATACACACACTCTGTGTATATAATGCAGAGTGTGTGTTTGTGTAGTGTGTGTGAACTGGGTGGGGGGAGGGTATTTTTATTATTTTAATTTTTTTTAATTTTAATATTATTTTTTTATTATTTTAATTTTTTTTTTGTCCCCCCCCTCCCTGCTTGTTAACTGGTCAGGGAGGGGGGCTATCTTAATCCCTGGTGGTCCAGTGGATGGGCTGTGAAGTGGGGGGGCCAGCAGGAAGCATTTACTTACCTTTCCTGCAGCTCCTGTCAGCTCCCTTCTCCTCCGTTCCGGTCAGCTCCACTGTAAGTCTCGCGGTCTGGTTGCCACGCGGATCGTTGCCATGGCTCTGATGGCCGCGGCTCTCTAAGTTGCCATAATACAGACAGTGACTCGAGTATAAGTCGAGTGGGGGTTTTTAAGCACAAAAAATGTGCTGAAAAACTAGACTTATACTCGAGTATATACTGTAGTAGATAATCAAAGGTAAGGCCTGAATCTGCTGAATCAATTCAGTCTGTTTAAAATAAAAATATGACGGAAAATGTCAGATTCTGTGGAACGTATAGGATTCTCAACAATTATCAAACATTAAATCACTTCCAAATTGACAAAGAAGTTGGATGCTTGAAGAGAACTGAGAATCTTTCTGCCATTCTACAGGGGGCACTGTTGCACAGTTAAGGGTGACAAATTAGTTGGCAAGTCCATCTGCTATGTTATTTTTTTCTTACTTTTTAACATTCAGGGTTATTAACTAAAGTTAGATTATGAATTGAATACAAAGTGAATTTTAAATTTAAAGGCTGAACTGGAAACATTTTCAGCTCTGCTTCCAGTTCAAGTATTTTGGCCTTACAGTAGACTATTTAAATATCCAAATAGATGTGGACATAGTGGGTGTCATTGAATAGTACCAACTGATTGATAAGAGGTCCTGGAAAACCCAGTATTCAATTAATCGGCGCACGTCTAACAGCACAAAAATGGGAAAATGCATAGTTGGGCAGTTCCCAGCTCGCTTGCTTGTGACTTATATTAACCCTTAGGCTGCCACAGTGTAGAATGTGAATGGCAGGGGGCATTCTAGTGATCCCCATGCCTTTAGTAGATTTATGAGACGCCTTTGAGTTCTTTTTTTTTTTTTTTTACATTTCATTTGATTTGTAAATGTCTCATTCAAAAAGCAGGAGAACATATTTTTCTATTTTGGGTCTAATCCATATATTATTTTAAGGACTTTATTCCTATGTGATTTCTAATCAACCTTAAAAGGTGTTCGTTCTGCTCATTGGACCCAATATTTGCCAACTTCAAATAGAATATTCAGGGGTGGCCTTTGAGGAGTGCTTTACCAAAGATAGGTTCATATATTTTATGTCACAGTATTGGATTGTGGCAGGCATAACCAGGTGGTAATCAGAAAGTAACAAAACCATGTCTTTTCATTTAATCCTAAACCAAAAAATATCTCCAACTCAGACATTGTAGTCTCTATTTTGCCCTTACGATTTTAACTTGTAACAATTCAGAGTTTAGTAAATAACTGTGAAAGCTTACGTTTTACAGTACTAATGAAGAAAAGTGTCTAACCTCAGGTGACTAAGTCCTTTAGACTGTATGGTGGGAATGAAATTTGAAATTGAAAATTTAGGCAAAATTGATAAAATAATAATAAAAAAATAATAATCTCAGCTTGTCTTTATTTATCACAAATGTTGCCATTCGGTTTTAAATCCATTACCATCTGGTGATTAATGGATAAAACCAGTAATATATCAAAATCACGACAAAATTATAAATCAAAACAAAAGAGTTTGCAAACTAGGAGATTTATTAAGGCAAAATCGGTGCTAAAATGGAGCAAAGCACTAAATCCCAGGACCCATTCTGTTGGTTTCCATGGTGATTGCTCCTTATTTAGCACAGTGTTCTGATGTCCGCAGATAGCTGAACCCGTGCTTCCAGCACACTGCTGGTTAATAGAATCCTTCGCTTTACTGTCAAAATAGAGTGCAGGAGCCAATCACAGGCTCGCTTACATCGCGCACATCTGGCCATTCAGAGCCAAGCTATGAGCTCGGGGAGAAGTGCTGGACGGTTATAATGGGGGAAGTCCTTCTCAGCCAATCACAGAGCAACTCTCATCAGCTGGTGGAAGCGCTGCTTTGGCAGGAGATGGAGCTGCCCTGACCCTGTGCCAGTCACCCTGGAGGCAGGTAAGCTCTGTAGCCATGTGTTGCTCCCATACTGTGATAGATGAGGGCAGTGAGGGCTTGGGTGCTCCCCTGGTAGGATGTTAGTAAATAGGCTGAGGATAAATCAGAGATATACAGCGCCCATTACACCCATGCCATAAACCCTCTCTCTGTATTTCAGCATCTTTTAATAATCCTGGTCACTTCGCCAATCCGCAACAAATTGTGTAAATAAAGAGAGTTTTTGGCCTCCCATCAGTACATCTTCTCAGCAGCTCGACTGATGTATTATTACAAATCTAAGAACCTTCTTTTCAGCCTGATTTTCTAACTGTGTGGAAATTTATGGACCAACCCTCCCTTCCCCAAGAAGCATGCCATTGTAAATCCTTGTTTTCCGAAACGTGGGGGGTTTAATTTTTTTTTTTTTTAAATTTATTATTATTATTTTTTATTTCTCCCGAGGATTTAGCATTGACAGTTACTGTTCACTACAATGCTAATTATGCTGACTGTGCGTGATGGGAGTTGTAGTGTAAGAAAACGGGCATCTGGCTGCTTGGAACTGAAGTTACCCCATCCATTAAAGTCCTTATTTCGACCTCATAATATAATATTTTGCCTGCACATATTCATAGAACTAGTAATTTTATGCTTCATATATGTTTAAAAAGACTTTATTACCTTCCAAGTATATTTTGTTTTTGCCATTCGCTGGGCCATTCGAAGCTTAAGGGTTAAATTTACAGTACAGATTGAATCAACAATCATAAGTGAAGCAAGATCATACAAATGTAGTAGAAAAAAAAATATATAGAAAGAATTCAGTTACCCTGCCACAAATTGCAAATGTACATCTGAAAGCCATCCAGATCTATAAATATTTCCCACAATTTCTTCGTTCATATGAGGTTTTGTGTTTTTTTTTTCCATCTTACATCTGTTTCTCAGATTCCTATTATAGCTCTTTTCCTGTCCAGCAAATGCTAACCCCCATCAGATCACACACTGATTTGGGCAAAACTGGTACTGCAGCTTCTGTCTGCTTATGTTTCCTCCAAAGAAAGCACCCTACCCAAGCCTTGGCTGTGCAGATGTTTATAAACTTGAATTATCATGATGCTTGGCCAAACCATGAACTGGCTAGTTATCATAGTTGATTTAGTTTACAATTAGGCTGAAATGTTGGGAAATACTGTTAACACACCTCTGCAGTACCAATGTTCGCTATCATTGCCCACATAAATTCATACTCCAAGCATGTACTAGCAACCTTACACCCACACCTGCGTGGGTGCTAAGTCATTTTGGAAAATGTACTTGACAACAGCTGGAATGCCAAAGGTTAGCTATCACTGGTTTGAGCCATGACAACATAGCTGTGAGATTGCTTCAAGTCTTAGTTGTTAAGTGCTCTTTGGTAAATCCCTTTACACGTTTTAGGATTATCCCTATGCTTATCTGTATTAATTAACCTATAATGAGGTGTTTTTTCTCCTTCGTGATTTTTGCTAGATGCTAAAGAGACAGCAAGAGGCGACAATACATTTTGAATAAAAAAGCAAGCTTTGCTCAAATAAACCGGTTTTCTTGCGTAGGCATCAAAGGATGTTAGAGAGGGAAAAAAAATGTTTTTATCTACCTGGAAAATTGTAAATGTTCATTGTACTCTACCTTCTTAAATAGTTCATTATAATTGTATGGTTTAGAATTCTGAGTAAATTAATGCAAATTGCTGTCCTTATATTCAAAAGACTGAAATGCAAAAATATTTTGTGATGCAGTTCGGTATTTGTGATACAGTATAGTATACAAACACACTGCTCAACCATTTATATCTACTGTAAAGGCTCACAATTTTCATGGCGTGGTTGAGAAAAGTGCAAATATTGTAAGACTTGGTGTATGTAATCCTCAACTAACTAGGCTTCATGGATTTTGGCGAAATTGGCAAGGCTTTGATTGGTTTAGTGCAGTGATGACAAACCTTTTTAAATGTAAGTAAGTGCCTCTCAGGCATACAACAAGACCCAGACCCAATTTTATAAGTTTTTGTTACTTTATTGCCACAATTTCTGTTAAAGTTCCCCTTCTGTCCTCTTGTAATTCACTCCTCCCCTTCCTGATATTTGTATTCTGTTACTTTTCCCCTCCGTATATAGCTCCTCTTAACCACTTAACTCATAGCTCTAAGTCCCCACTCCACCATTCTTTCAAATTAGTTTTTTTTTTTTTCTCTCTCTCTGTCCCTAACACGTCTGTCTTCCACTTCTGTATAAGACCCCCTTTAACATCCCCTTCTCTTACAGTTTTGCAGTTCTATTTCAGTGCTCACTCTTGCCCCTTTCCATATCTGTATACATCACTCACACAGTCCACAATATATTCTCATCTTCAAAGAAGTCTCCACTCCCACTACAACAGTATCTTTCTCCCACATCATGTCAGTCCTCTTCTTTCCCATGAAATTGGTTATTTCCACATTAGTCTGTCGGTCCTATTTCCTTCATAATAATAGCCCTCGTCCTGATCCCACTATTTATGTTTGCATACTTTCTTCCACTGATAATACTGGCTACCACACTCACTCTTTTCCATTCTTCCCATGTGGGGTTTATCCCCTTTTGTTTACTTGGCACAATGCTTTAGGACAGTGGTAGGCAACCTTCAGCACTCCAGATGTTGTAGACTACTTCTCCTTTGGTTTGCCAGCATTCTGACTGTAAGAGTATTATGGGAGATGTAGTCAACAACATCTGGAGTGTCACAGATTGCCTACTCCTGCATTAGGATGTCCTGTTTTTATAGGGTTTCAGGATCGATGCAACCCTATAGGCAATAGAAAATGACCAAATAATGACCAAAGAAAAAAATTAAATTTAAAAAAAAGTTACCTGCGCTCTCTCCTTAATCCCTATGTATATTTAGACAATCCTTCCAATGTCCATTGGAGTAAATAAATTACCTCTATTTGTCTAAATATACATAGGAGAGAGCGCAGGTATTTTTTACTATATATTGGGGCTGATGTGTACTTTGGTCGTTGCTGTCGCCCAGGAGTGATGGAAGTGAGCGCTGGACTTATCTTTTTGTATTTGTAAACACTGCATGGTAGACATAGCAATCTGACATAGTTTTGCGATTGCTAGATTAGGGCATGAATTTTACATTCTGGTTCAGAAATGCATTTTATGATTATTCGCATGTACTGTTTTGCTTTCATAAACGCCGCCTGACTGAGAGGATGAGTGCAGGAGGATTTTCATTTCTCCTGGCTATTGTACCATATGCCAGCTTAAACCTGTTTATAACAATTGCGAGCTCGTTAATTATGCTGTCCGTAAAAGAGGTGGCTGCGGATTAGTCTGATGGAATCTGCATCATCTGCTTTTAATCATATTATGACACTTATAAATTCACATCTACTTGTAGCTATGTTATCTGGCTAGTGGATTTTTGATCTACTTTCATTTTCCTGATCAAGTAATAATACCGTTTTTTTTGTTCATGAATATTGTTTCCACTGAGGAATCTGAATAATTTGTTTATTTTTCTAATCGTGCGGTGTGGACAGACTTACAAAATTTAAGCTACAACAGCTCAGATGAGAATATCTACCACTTGGTTCAATTTCAGTTTTTTACCAACCGGTTATCAACTTTATTTTTGTGAGTGTCTGTTACATAGCCGAAAAGAGACTTGCGTCCATCAAGTTCAGCCTTCCTCACATATGTTTTTGCTGTTGATCCAAAAGGAGGCAAAAACCCAGTCTGAAGCGCTTCCAATTTTGCAACAAACTAGGAAAAAATTCAATCTTGACCCCAAAATAGCAGTCAGATATCTCCTTGGATCAAGCAGCTATTACCCCACTGATTAGAAATTATATCCCTGTATGTTATGTTTTTGCAAGTATTTATCCAATTGCAGTTTAGAACATTGTCACACAACAATTGTATTTCTGTCTTGTATTATCCTTGATGTCTTCATGAATAAGTTAATTAAGATTTTCCTATTTTGACAAGTTGAAATTTTCTGGACAAGTTGACGAAGTCTTGCATATTTATGCATATTATATGTATGTGGCTTTACCCGCATAATGTTTTTCTACTCATTACCTATACACCCACAGGGAATGTAAATGTATTATGTTTTTTTTCTTTTTGCAATGAATTAAACGTAGATCATTTGTCTTTGAAGCAGCTATGTCACGCCAAACTTTTCTCTCTTAAGTAGATTCCTCTTCTTTTCCTCTCCAAATATGTTCTTCTTTTCTGATCTTATTCTCGTAAAATACATAAGTCAAAGTTTGGACTAATGTGCCTCATGTATTTATTTTTTTTTTTTAAACATGACAAAGGGTTGAGCTTAAGGCAAGTTTCACTAATTTTAAGTCCAGTTTTCCCACAATACTCGCGAGACACACAAAAAACAGGTTAAGCAATTACCGAGCCAATTTTTACATCTCTTAAAATACAGATAATTCAGTGGAGTCTGTAAAATATTATTCAACAGGCCCTCCAATGCAACAAAGCTTGGTTAGAATCCTGTGGTTTAATCAAGCCTCCCAACAGTCCTAATTCTGTCGGGACAGTCTCCATTTCAGAGTCCTGTCTTGCCGTCCATATTTTGTCCTCTAGCAGCACAGTGCGTGGCCATCATTCAATGTGGTTGTGCTGTGAACTGTCACTAATACCATGTGGAGAGAGCTTCAGAAGCACTCTGTATGGTCCTGTAGGTTGTGTGCCAGTCAGGCAGGCCCATTCAGTGAGCAGTCCTGTCCTTAATGGGCATCACTTCTTTGGGAACACACCATAAGGATACCTCCCAAAAGTCTCAGTTTCTTGGTTTTGTCTCACTTTAGAACCCTGAAGGTAACTGTTCTCAGGCAGCAAAGCATTAGATGCACTCACACTGTGCGGCGGACACTAAAGACTGCCAAGGTACCTGTCAGTGGTTGGGCTCACCCAGTTTCCAGATAGGCCTGCCCATTATAGGTGTTAATATTAATGCGTGTTGCATCACTGGCGACATCCTGTCTATTTTTTTTAAAAAAAATTTCTTCTCCCAATTGTTGGAGGTATGCTTCAAGGCCCACCCATCTTGTCTCATATCTTCCCAATTGTGCATTTTGTACTTTTCTAAAATCTTATTAATAAGGAGTTAAGTTGACCTTCTGGGTTTATGTAAATGTGTCTCTGTGAGTAAGAAATGTAGATTTAACAGGTAACCCCATTCTAGTGTGCCTTCCTTTATTCGAAAAGCCTTGACTTGTGTATATGCCTTTCTCTTTTGTAGCAATCACATTTTCGATGATTCTTTTTGAGGTCTACAGATAATGCTTTGTGATATTCAACCTGCTAAGCCCAGAGGTTGTGTTGTGACAGCTAGACTTCAGTAATAAAATATGACTAATATAGATCTAGGATTTCAATGTCAATTGTGCCAGGATATAAATGTCATTATTCTGGTGTTGGTGCTCTGCAGACCAGATGTGGCCTTCTGTGGATTTTGTATGAAGATTTTTTTGCCTTTCATTGTTTTACTTATTCAATAATATCCAGCTCCCGTCTAATGTGACCCTTTAACATTGGTGAGACTGTAAATTATTTTTATTAGCATTTTCCTTGAATGTCTGTATCAATACAATCTAAATGTTGATCTGACTATAAGATATAACATATATTTACTGAAAATGATCCCTCTTATTAGAGAGCACTATTTCATTTTCTGGGTTTTTTTTGTGTGTGTGCCGAATGTACTCTGCAGATCTTTATTGATTGATTTCTCTGTTACTTTAACTGATACAATAGGTGCTGTTTACAAGGCAGTGTTTCGAAGAAATGTTTAAAAAGTGAGGCAATCAGTCAGATCATTTTGTTGGTTTCCATGGTGATTTCCCAAGTTTTATAAAGTTATCCTGCAATTGCTCCTTATAAATTACCACAATGTTGCTTGTTACCATGGTATGTTTGTTTGCATGTGGGTAGCTAAAGGTTTCTCAATCGTTGTTTCATTCAAGAACACGTGTGGCTTTTGTTCAATTTTACGGATCAGTCTCTCCAAGCCTATAAATCTGCTCATTAGGCCGTCTTCTGCCTGCATTGGGGTCTTGTACCCTTACTGTATATTCAGAATTATTAAGCCAGTGTGAATGATACATATGAGCAGTGTCTGGTTTACCTTCTAAGATTGTATCCTCCTTTGCCTGTGGGTTGTTCGGCTTTTGTTCAGATAAGTAGGCTTCATTAGAAAATCCTCCGTATCCTTGCGAAAGAAGAGACTAACCTTAACTGACATTCTGGTACGTTATCCCATGGCATTGCTGTATCATGCTAAACTACATTGATCTGCCGCTACCCTTGTAATGAGGTTATTTTTCAAGTACTTTTTCAGTGTTTGTTGAAAGTGAGCCAAGTATCTCAGGGTAGCCTGCAGTACTCTCCCAATGTCGTTATTTTCTTTTTTTATTATTTATTTATTTATTAGAGGCGACGTTTAAAATTTGTTGTTTATACTTCAATCTCACGATTTCCATGTAATTCTTGCCTTGTTTGTGAGTGGGTTGTTATGTTCTCGATGGTGCTATGACAAATTTACTTCTAAAATCCATTTTCATTGCATTGATTTTTTGTTTTCTCAAAATGCTTTAATTTTGCACCTCTGTGTACTCTCGTGGTGTATGTATACTAATGAAAAGAAGTGGAAAAAATAAATATAAATTAAGAGTACAGGATTTACTGGTTATGGGTACAAATGGTAAAACAGATGTATCTATTCATTTCTATATCTATTGTATTTGTTCTGGTGAGTAGAATCATTCCCTTCAGGCTTTTTGCCATAAACCTTGTCTTCCAGGAGAAAATGCAGTGTTTACATTACAGGCTAGTGATAACTACACTGGTCACTACTAATATGGCTGCTAGAGGTGCTTTCTGGGGTTGTGCTGCACAGTGACATTCAGTGTATCCACTCTCTGCCTGGAGATACTGAACTTTCTTCATAGAGATGCATTGATTCAAATTTATTTCTGTGATGGGATGCTGTTTGGCTTGTTGTGGCTCTGCCCCTGATCTGCCTCCTTGACTGTCTCAATCAGCCCTATGGGAAAGCATCAATATTGGCTCTGAACAACACTTCTGATTATGTCAACCAAGCAGGTAGATCAGAGGCAGCAGCTGCACATTTGACCAAAAGTAAAATTTTACTATATTGAGCGGGCCAGGGAGTCTAGATGGTGTTTTTAACACTATAGGGTCAGGAATACATGTCTGTGTTCCTTTAAATTAGCAGCACTACTCAAGTAGATTTTTTGTCTGTCATTATAGAGTCCTGTTTAAATTTACTTTATATCCTCTGTGACCATTGATGGCTGCCAGCAGTCAATGTTTGTGTTGAGACAGCGGAGGAGTGTTAGAGGGGAAACTATGATTGTGGTTTTTGTTAGTGGTTGTTTTTTTTTGTTTTGTTTTTTTTTCTGTTGAATTAACTGCTTACATGACAAAATAGGAGCAAAAGTGCCCTCCCTTTCAAATCTAACATGGTCAGTCTTCATGTGGCAACTGAAGCAGAGCAGCAGGCTCTTCCCCTCTCAATTCCTATTTTAACCTCAGAGTCCCTGTATGATGACTGTCCTTCACTAACCGTTTATTGGATTGTTCATCTTTAATTGGCTGTGTCATGCAAAGTTTTTTTTTGGTGTAGCTAACAGCCAATCACAGAGCAGCTAGAAGCATAACACTTGCCAGTTACAGTAATATCGGATAGACAATGAAAGGAATGTTAAGTTTGAGCCCCTTGATATCATCCCTTCGTACCGCGATGCTGATGGGTAGATCACCAGATGCTGTAGTTATAAAACATTTGGGGATCTACCTTTTGGGTAATCTCTTTAGTACAAGAAAATATTCTTGGTGCACTGTTTATTTATTTTATTTTATTTTTTTCAACCCACGTGGTGCCTTCAACGCATTTGATCAGGTTGGTCAAAACCACTGTACAGCGCCAGGGGACTGTGGACATATCTTATATTGATATTTTTATTTTGGTATCTTTAGAAAAATGTGCCCAATGCCCCTTTGTCTTTAGGGTTTACTGTTCCTTTAATATTCATAGCTTTGCTCGTGCTTCCAAATAGAGCGTGGGTGTATGATCACAACCATTTCATTTCAAAAAGAACTGTCTCTGCATTGCTGATGTGTAACTTCGGGCATCCTAGAAAAATGACATATGGAAGATTCATTTGCATTTTCCGCCTGTTTTTTGTGTTTATTCTTTTCCAGCAGATTATTTTCTAAGTGCATTGAGCTGGAGCTATCAGATCAACAGTTTTTTTGTTGTTGTTTTTTTTTGGCTTTAGATGTCTCTCTCAAGTCATTCTTAAACTCTTTGAATGCAATGAGTGTAAGCCATGCTAAAATAGATACAGGGCAATTCTCTAAAGTGAAAATTCTGATTTAAGACTGGATTAACTGAACTGAAAGCACAACAGAGAATTTTTCCAGTTTGGCTCTTTTGACCTTAAAGAGATACTATAGTGCCACAAATACAAATCTGTATTCCTGGCACCATCGCTCACCCTGCCTCCCAACTCCCTTGCGCCCTCTCCCCACCCAGGTGAATAAAGTGTTTAAAACCCATTTTATTTACTTGCCTTATCCCAGCGCCGATGTCCCTTGGTGCTGAGTCGTGTCTCCGCCCCCTCCGACGTCCCGCAACGAGCTGGCACTAATGCACGGTAAATGCCGTGGGAATTAGACCTCCCCATAGGAAAGCACTTATTCAATGCTTTCCTATGGGGAAAAATCTGATGCTGGGTGTCCTCATACAGAGTGTGAGGAAGTCCAGCTATGATAATAGACCAAAGGTCTGTTTCAATCCAGGAAGTCCTCTAGTGGCTGTCTGGTAGACAGCCACTAGAAGCTGACTTAGTGCTGCAATGTAAACCGTTTTTCTGGAAGTGCAGTGTTTAACATTGCAGCACTAAGTGTAAAACGGACACTGCACCTAGACCACTTCAATGAGCTGAAGTGGTCTGGGTGCCTACATTGTCCCTTTAAATTTGAAAAGTAATTGCAGCAAGGTGACTGAATCCCTGCCATAGATTCTATTTATGACTTGTTTCATTCACACGGTGCTGCTGCATTACATATCTGATAAATGCACAGCACACCTAGTAAAGACAATGAATAGCCCCATGATTGTCTGTGAAAATTCTCAGCCATTTCTTTCAGATCTTCAGCAAATTCAGAGTTGTCATTGCTAATTTTATCAATAATTGGTCAATCCTGGCATATCTGTATGTTTAATGTAACTGTGTAGATTTGCATTCTCCCCTCCCCCCCTTTTTCTTTTTAACTGTGCCTGTGTGTTTTTATAATAAACCTTTCTAATTAATACCAAACCGATTCTGATTTGTGTTGCCTATGGTGACCGTGCATGTGGAATGATCTGGATTGAAAGAAGTCATTTGAAGTGCTTGATAATTTGCTGCGTATCTGTATGCTGGTCATTTACTGTAGGCTATTTCCCCATACGCATAAGACATATGTGAAGAACTTAAACTTCCTCCAAAATACCAAGAAATGTTGTTGTCTGTTGAGGTTTGTTTCATAAACCGTGAGTTTTCATGAACTAGGTTAAAAAAAAATTTTATATTTCCAAATTTACATATGGAGTAACTGTACAGGAAAAATCTGTAACCCTGGCATATGCCCAAAATGGAAACCTCAGTTTTTGATTTCATATAAAGTAGATAAATGTTTTGATCATTGACTTTTGAGATCTAACTTCCTCTCTCATTTATTGTCTTCGCTCATAAATATATGTATACATTTAAAAAATATTTTTTTTAAATGAACACTCTTTGCACCAGAACCGCTTCATTGGAATGAAGTTATGGTTCCAGGAGGTCTTCACGACTTGTTTAGGCTTCTATACAGTGCTGTTTAGCTCTTTCCCCCTGTCATTTCACATAGCTAATTGGCTGAGAGTGATCAACTGACTCTGTCACCCATTGAGTTAGCTCTTTTGAGCCTTTGACAGAGCTTCTGGCAGAGAGGTGGGGACTGTGCCTGGTGGACCTCTGGCAAGAAGTCAAACAGTTATAAAACAGTATGGCTACTTCCAGTAGGGGGTGGCAGGGCATTTGTTACACCATAACCACTTTACAAGAGTGCCCAGTCTACTTATAGAAGCAGAGCTGCTAAAGTAACCAGTTTATTGTGTGTAGTAGTCTGCGGCCAGATGATGTACCTGTTCCGACCATTGGGGTTGCATTGAAATTGCATGGTGAAGATTTTAAAACATTGCATTGATCAGTGGCTGTAGACAAGAAAACTAAAATAGTAAAAATTTTGTTTGTCAAACGTCATTTTGCCTTAAATATTCCTGCACTGAAACGGTAAATAAAGCTGTACTACCCTCTGTGCTTATCTATAATGTGAATCCTATTAATTCCCATCAGAGATGAGCCATTTGTAAGAGAGAAAAACTGTGAAATCTCGTTTGTTCCCTTCTCATATAAGAATTTGTGTCACACAGTGAGGGTGCATTTAATGAGCAGAAGCAAAGTATGTAGGATGAAAAAGGGTCAGGCATTTTAAGATGACAACTGATATGAGAATAGGAGAAACAAAGGAATAGATGTTGTATGGGTGTCAAGTCGTTATCATAGTGAACCAACATCGAGCATATTGGCACCTGTGTTTAATAGTTAATACTCCATAAATGTGCAGTAGTTGAAATCCTGAATTGTAACCTCATGCCAAGTATGATCAATGACGTCTTGGTTAACAATACATCAATCCGTCAATGTGTAAGACCTCTAAACGCATCTTAGAATGAAAAATCATTAATTAAAGGGACGCTATTGTCACCAGAAGAACTACAGCTTAATGTTGTTGTTCTGGTAAATCTAGCGTGTCACTGCATGCATTTTTCTTGTGTGTGTGGAAATACTAGCCTTTTCAGAGAAAAGGCACTGTTTACATTACCGCCTAGAAACACCTCTAGGGGCAGTCACTCAGACAGGCACTAGAGGTGCTTCCTGTGTCATGTGCAGCATTGACATTCAGAGTCTCTGCTTTACTTTCCCCTTATATAGACGCATTAATTCACTGCATTTATATGAGGACATCCTGATTGGTTAGTGCTATGTTTGGCTCTGCAAAATCTGCAAAATTCTGATGATCCCATCCAAGGAGGCGGGTCAGGTGTGCTGGAAATAATAGTGTTTTTAAAACTATAGGGTCGGGAATACATGTTTGTATTCCTGACCCTATACTGTCCCTTTAAGCTGCAGAATTAACATCAATCCAATGTTTGTTTATTGACAAGTACTGATCTGGTGACATGCAAAAAAAACGCCTGGTACAGGAGGGATACTGCCGTTTTTTCATTTCAGGAAATTAGATCAGAACTGAGTAAACAAAGATACATGAAAGACAAAGGAAAGCAAAAATGAGCTAATCTTAGAAAACTCTAGGAAATAAACAAAGAAGGGAGGGGGTGGGGGGATTACTTTAAAGGAATAAAATAGATTATTCACTGTACAGGAAAAGGTAGTAATTCCCTAAAGATGATCGAAACATTCTTTGTTTTCTTATTTTTGCTGTGCATACGCATGTTAGAGACAAGCTTGAGTTACCCAATAGCAATAATCAGGCATTACTTAATGCATTACATGTGCAGGACTTGAAAGGCATGCACAATTTTATAATATAAGCAGGCATAATTTTCATTTTTTTGCATCCCTAATTATGTCACTAATTTATGTCATAGCTTTTAAGTTCTATAAGATGCATTGCATTGGTGATAGTGGCGATTGCCATGAATGCTATCTGTGTCCAGATGACTTCATAGGATTGGAGATAAGCGATTGTTCCAGTTTAGGAATAAAGGTTCGTAATGGAGCTGTTGAGAATAGTTTATCTGGTGTATGCACCATGCATGTGCCACTGGCAAGATTTTAACTTAATTACACACGGCTTTCCAAAAAACTTTAGCACAGTTTTTAGCTTGCTTTTAGTGAATCATATGTTTGTGCTAAAATTTAAAGGTGACTAATATCTAGGGTAAGCCGGCACAGATGCTCACAGAAGAGACTGGCATGCCTATTGAACAGGTGAATATGGTATGGAAATAAGAAAGTGGCCATTTGTATATGCAGGAGCTGCTGGCAAAACTGCCAAAGGAAAACAAAGGGTAAGTTAACATAGACATTGGTGTGATTGGCATGGAACCACATGGGCAAGGCAGGCACAGAAATACACTGATAAATGGCACATGTACACATAGTGGACACTGGCATTGATATGCACATGGAATCATGGCATGAAAATGCATGTGATCAGTTTTTATATTAACCCTCAATAATTATTTTTATTTCACTATATTAAAGTGAATGCTTGATCAGTCTTTAATATTTGTTTCTACCTCTATTGGTGGCATTTGTGCTGATTCAATGCATTATAGGACCAGTGCACAAATAGGGCTGCTTTTATTTTGCTGTCCGGCCATGCATACACTCCAGAGCATGTGTGGTTGGGTATTAAATAAGGTCAGGACAATCTTTTTGTGTTCTTGCTTTTATCCGCTGGATTAATTGCATATCGAATTTTTCTACAAATATTACTGTAGATGCTCTGCCTTTACAACACATGATAATAATGGAAATCCCTATGTGAGCAATTAACTTGTAAAAATGATACACTGCTCAATAAAACATTGCAAGGTCGGTTATTGTAGATGCATTTTCACTAAAACTTGATGGTGTTTTATTGAATTTCAAAATTAAATCCTCTTTTTAATGATTTTTGTTTTTCTGAAAAAAAAAACACTCTGTAGAGGCTGATCTCTATTTATTTTGTAGAATTTTTTTTTTTTTTTTAGCTAATCACAAATACTGAAAAGAAATTTGTGTATTATTTGTACACAGGAAAATATTAAAATACTGAAATTTACGAACCCCTGAATTTTTAGAAATATATTTTAGAATCTTTTTATTTTATTTTTTTAATTCTAAATTCTTGTGTGTATGAAATGCTTGAGGTGTTATGCAAGTGTTCGATGATTTGCAGTGTTGCTGTGTTTGTGTCGGGAGGAAGATGGACCTTGTGGAACCGTTGGCATAAGTTGATATACAGTTTTTTCTTTATTCTGGTTTGATTTACTATAAAGCATTTGGATACATGTAATATCCATATTGTATATCAGATGATTTAAGTGTCTTTGCTGACACTGGCAGTATTTGCACCTTTTGAACATTTTGTATATACCATTTTATAAATAATCACACTTTGTTTAATGACTACCTTCTGCTAGATATACACTTGACATTTTTCACGGCTTGTCATGTTTCCCGTTTCATTTACGTTTAATGCACATTTTATTAGCTAAAATGGTTAACAAATATGGAATCACATCTCTATATGTATATGTTGCGACTAGGAGAGATACAGTGTAGTGGTGTGCATGATGTGGTACACCAATTCAGCTGGGAGGCAGTCAGACAGATGTTTAGCAGTGTCATGACCATAAAGAGGGCAAATCTGCTTAGATTTTGATTTATTATTATTATTATTTATGTGTAACTGTCTAAATACGGACTTCCAATTTAGGACATAATGTGTTTTATAATATACAACTGTTCTTACTGACATATCTGGGTTGGCAAGCATGAAATTTGAGTTTCTTGTACCTTCCATATATACAGCTCTGTACACTCTACCCCCTCAGTATCATAGCTGGCTTTCTCTATAACCCCCCTTTAATATTTGCCATCAAACCATGTTTTACATTAAGTAGTTTTTTTTTTTTTAGTTTTTTTTTTTTCTGTCAACCGAGCTGCTGAATCCCCGTTTACTATCCATTCATTGAGTATGTAATACAGCATTTGTGGCAGCATTTTCAGGCTCATAAGAATACCCCAGAGAATAAAATCACAATTTATCAGTCTGTGTTCTACATCAAAACATTGTAAAATGATTCCCATGAGTCAGTTGGCCCCCCCTCAACCCTCAACTTTTTGGGTAGATACAGCACAACATATCATAACACAGCTCACATACATTTAAGCTAATTTGAAAAGTATTTTTTTTTTGTTTGTTTTTTTGTTTTTTAATGCCAAGAACATATGTTGGACTGAAAGGGTAGAACCAAACACAGAGCGAAATTACCTTGATGCAAAAATAACTTTATCCTTGAATGTGATATATCTTATATAGAAATGTCAAACCTGGGAAGCCTTGCTTCCTCTTTATTTGAGATTTTAAACACCAATGTAACTGTTTGTCCCAGCAGCTAGCTTTATTTAGTGCTGTCCTCGTGAATTTCATAATAATGAATTTCAGTCAAACAGCAATAATTGAGTTTGTGTATAAATTCATTGATGATATTGGCACTTTGCATACCTTACAAACTGCTGTTTCTATGACACTAATTAACACTTCAAGCTGCTAGGTGATGTAGACTTGTCACCATATCTCACAATTTTCCCCATCTCTCAATCAAGTAGTTATACATGCAGAACATCATTCAGAAAATTAATTTGAGTGTTTTTGTTAACAAAACAACTTACTGGTGTATGTATTTTGGAAGTGAGCAAGCTAAGAATATGTTCAACCCTTGGGTCGCAGGTTCAAATCCTGGCAGGGTTGGCTCAGCCCTTCATCCTTCTGAGGTAGATAAAATGAGTACCATTAAATTGGGTAATATGAACTTCCCCAGGATGTTGGGCTAAGGTAACACCCCCAGGATGTACTTGAAGACCAGAGTAATCGGAATGTACTTTTCCTGGTTAAATACATGATGATGATGATGATGATTATTATTACGTGAAGGTGAAGTGGATGCCTAATATCTATAATGCCATTACAGACTGTATAACATTAAATACTAACTGCAAACATCATTTGTAATTGACATGTATGCAGTAACACATATCCTCTTGTAATGTATATTATAAATTGTGCATTCAGTCTCTTTTGTGGTAGGTTTAAGATCTGTCTTCATACACTACATATATTTGTGTGATTCTGGTGTTTCATTTAAAATTAATCAGTGATCATTTTGTGCATTGTTTTGTGGTAAGCTGTAATTGCCACAGTTTGTACAACCTAAAAGAAAACCTTCGTAATACCTGCGTGCAGGATCCACATACGTCAATTCCATAGCTATTTTTTTTGCTTTTTGTCATTGAAGCACTATCAAGCATTAGCCCCATTCAGCGTCATCCTATGATAACCCTAAACATGCTAATCCTAAACCTTTCGAGAAGTAAAGGAAAAATGCCGTACTAGAGGCTATCTGCTTGATATCCACTGGAGGAGTGTTTTCTGTAAAATGTAATCAATGTGTTTCTCAGAAACACTGGTCAGTGAAGAGGCAGCCTCTATGCACCAAAATTACTACAATAAGATCTAGTGGTTCTGGTGCTTAAAGTGTTTCTTTAAATATTGATTTAACAAATGTATAAATAATTTTAAAAAAATTAAAAAATTCATGTAATACTTTTTCATTGAATATTGTGAAATAGGTGTAAATAGGCCGTCAGTGTGCTGGTACTTCAATATGATGTCTCTGTTTTATGTAGGTCCCAATGGGAGCAGAATAAGAACATACATGAAGGTGGGCCATACACCATGTCATCATGCGTGTCCAAGAGGGCTTCTTCTGAGAGGTCCATCCTACAAGATGACAATGACCATTCAAACCAGCCTCACATCGTTTGCAACTTCTCAACTCTGAGCATCGACCTAGGCATGGAATCCGTTATCGTGGTCACAGAATATGATCCTTATATTTCAGATATTGAGCATGGGCATAATGGAGAGCCGGTTAGTGAAGGTGTGGAACCCAAGGAGACCGGCAAAGATGAGCCTGATTTTCATAGACTTACTGAAAGTGGATGTATACTGGAGGACCTCAAAGGGCTTCCAAATGATATCAAAGATCCCAGGGCCAAACTCAATATGACAAATAGGAAGCTATCCCTCCAAGAACGTTCTTCATCTGTACAATCTCCAAGCAACCTAGATATGAATGGACAGTACATTTATCCATCTCTCCCCTATTCTCCGGTAACCTCACCACAGTCTTCTCCACGCTTGCCACGGAGACCAACAGTAGAGTCTAACCGTGTCTCTATTACGGGTTTTCAGGTAATGTTAAATTCCTTCCTTTTAATGTATATTCTGTCTCTAGAAATGTCTTGTTGCTCTTCCTTCCAGAGAAAGTTAAATCTTCCAAGAACAATTTTAAAGCGTTCCTACCAAAATAGGCATAACTAGTTTCTCTTCTGCTGAATTCAGTTACACATGGAAGTCTAAAGATCTGGGATATTTAGTATCATTGCTCGCATGCTGACATCTGAGCATACGTGAATTCAGCCTGCTGATCTTTCTCCCAAGCATAAATACAAAGTAAGGACACCGCTAAGAAAATAGCTGGCGTAAGCCCATCAATTATATCTGCAAACCAATACTTTGTCAGTGCTGTATTTTGGTAGACTGTATAGTCAATGCTCAGTACATCGAAAAGCGGCCCATGTATACTTCTTTGTGCGAGATATAAAGCCTGGACCAATTATATGCAGCTGTGGGTGGTTATAAAGAATCCTATTAAAAATAGCTCTGTGCTAATATAAATTCTGATGGCTCTAAAAATAGCTCTGGACGGATCTAGAGACTGATCACATGTACTGCTCCATGTTGATCTGAAATGAAGCTACCCATATTGTTCAACTAATGCAATCAGTGCATTAATTTAAATTAATAATGACTTTGTAAGGACAGTGTGTTGCACAGTTCACCCAGTGTTTGGTCTGCTCCTTTTCATGCCTTGTTAGAGAAGTTGAAGGGGCAAAAAGTATCTTTACTAGGAAAACCACTATTGCATAAATGTTAAGTGAAAGTTTTTGGACTCTTATCGGCCATGATACATGGTCATGTGTATTTTTTAATTTAGAAGTAAATTATTAAATCACAACATGATTTGTTCAGATGATTTTATAATCTAATACTGACTAAACAGAATTAAGACAAGCTTTTTTTTTTTTTTTTTTAATTTGGGATACTTACATCTTGCTGAGCAGCATTTGTTATTTTGTCCTACAGAATACATTTTCTTTAATCATTCCTCAAAGTAACACTATTGCTTTAGAAATAGAAATGTGTATTTCTACTAGAGTGTCTTAGTGACCATTTAGGGGACAGTCCCCCCTACCCTCAAGGGTTGAAAAAGTAGTTTATTGAAAAAAAAATTTCCCACGTCGCGCTACTCTCTCTGTGGTCACTCCATCTCCTTGGCTGAAATCATCGATATTTTATAACAGCCAATCCAATGCTTTCCCTTAGTAAATCATTGGGAGGCTATGGCACACAAGTGCTGCAGTGTGCCAATCAAATGGTCTCTTTGAGACCATCTGATTGAAATAGCCGTGTTTCACTTGACTATTTTGGCAGATGCACCACTAGTGGCTGCATCGCTGCAGAACGGCAATGTTTTCACTTACAGAGTTAAAATTCCTGAGGCATGGCATCCAGACCAATTCATTGAGATTAAGTGTTAAAGGACCACTATAGTGCCAGGAAAACATACTCGTTTTCCTGGCACTATAGTGCCCTGAGGGTGCCTCCACCCTCAGGGACCCCTCCTGCCCGGCTCTGGAAGGGGGAAAGGGGTTAAAACTTTTTCCTATGGACGCTGGCGTGCTCTCACTGTGAAAATCACAGTGAGAAGCACGCAAGCGCCTCTAGCGGCTGTCAATGAGACAGCCACTAGAGGGAATGGGGGAAGGCGTAACCCATTCATAAACATAGCAGTTTCTCTAAAACTGCTATGTTTATGAAAAAATGGGTTAAACCTAGCTGGACCTGGCACCCAGACCACTTCATTAAGCTGAAGTGGTCTGGGTGCCTAGAGTGGCCCTTTAACCCTTTAAAGTGTTTGTGTGTGTGTGTGTGTGTGTGTGTGTGTGTGTATTAATATACAGGTTGGTTATATTATGAAAACAAAACAATAATGCAGCCTTTCTTGGATTTTTTTTTCTGCTCTTATAGTGAAAAAAATATTTAAACTGATGTCTGTTTATACATGTGTTATATCTATATCTCTTTCTTTCCATGCTGTGCCTGACATGTACAGCTGTGATTGCTTTAACTTCTCTGCCTAATAGAGGTATCTGTATTATACCTGTGCTGGATGCAGTGTTAATTGCCACTCTGAGTCTGCAATCTCTACAACAGTGTCCCTTACCATGAATCTTACCATGGTCATTCGATGTTAGACCCATAGGATAATGACATTTCTTTTTTTTCTTTTTTCAGGACTGTGTCCAGCTTAACCAGTACAGGCTGAAAGATGAAATTGGAAAGGTAAATTTAAGCTCTTGATATCTCTTTAATCTGCTGTATTAATTTAGGTTTTATATTTAGAGTGTTTAAGCATTGTGAAAAGCAAGCTATCCACTAACACTTGGCTGACCATTCAAACAACTAACACAAGGCTTTGGACTCAATTTAATTCTATTGGCTGAAAATAGTAGATAATTATCCATTTTAATTTTTTTCCTCCCAATTCTAGTGCCAGACAAAATTCAAGCAGCCAGATCGATAAATGAGTCACATTTACCTGCCTTTTTAATGACTTCCTGCTCAGTTGCTAATCAAGTACAGTGGGGAGCTGGCACATGTCCCCACCCATGAGCAGCGATTGGGACAATTAAAGGGGTGAACCTAATATCCACCTGCTCTCCAAATCCCACCAAAAATACTGCTTATCACCTCACCCTAATAAAAGTGTGGGGCCCCAATTAATCTAAAATCCTGTAAATAAATAAATAAAATATTTGCTATCAGACATCATCATTTTTTTTTTTTCTTTCAGTCCCATAACTGGTTAAATAAAATTAATTTATTCACTGCTGTTGTTTCTATTGACAATTGAAAAACTGTGTTCTCCCAAGGAGAATGAGCTTGCAAGGTGGGAAAGTTCTTTATAAGACTTCCCATGCTTTGCAAGCTTAAAGTGCTGTGATTGTTTGGCTTGTAGGCTTACAGATAAACATGATTAGCTAATTAACCCCTTAAGGACACCGCTTCAAATGCTTGTTTTACTCTTAAGGACACAAACCATTTTTGCATGTTTTGCTGTTTTGTGTTCAAACGCAATTTGCATCTCTGTCATTTATTGCACCAACACATATTATATACTGTTTTTTAGAGGGCAAACAGGGATTTAATTTTCACATATGCATAGATAAATTCTCATTAATTATAAAAAAAAAAAATGCCAAAGAATGAGGGAAAAAACTGTTTTGGCAATAATAGCCTGTGCATAATATGTCCAGCTTAGAAAAAGTAATTCAAAATAAATTTATTTATGTGTCTTGATTTATAGAGTACGTAATATGTATAGGATTTCAGCTTATTTTGAAAGTTACAGGTCACAAAATACAAGGACTAAAATATTTTTATTTTTTTTTGTCTGAAAAGGCAGTGTTTACATGAAAATGCCTGAAGGGAGCTATTATACTCACCAGAACAACTACATTAAGCTGTAGTGGTGACTAGTGTCCCTTTAATGCTGGCCATGATCCAAAGGTGTCCGAAAGCACAGTGCATAGCGTATGGGACTGCGTAGCTGTAGACTGGTTAGAATGCCCATGATGATGACCCCTGTCCATCACCAAAAACACCTTTTAATGGGGAGTTGATTCAGAACTTGACTATGGAATGTTGCCAGGTCTGATGAATAATTTTCTTGTATCCGGTAGTTGTTCAGGTGTGTGTCATTTATCTGGAGAAGAGATGGCAGCAGAATGCACTATGAGAAGAAAGCACTGTGATTTGTCAGGGTTCTCACCTTGACATCCAGACTTTGCGGTCCTGGGCCTGCATTCTATCTTTGAGCCACAACAGCTTTGTTTATTTTGAGCTATTCCAGTCCTGTTAATCCTGGCTTGTCTGCAGCACTGGGGGCTGGACTTTGACTGCTGCTGTGCTTCACCTGACCCTGATCAGAAATCAGCAGGGTATATAAACACAGCCTCGCCCTGTGAACTTTGTCAAGTCTTTGATCATTTTATGTGCGTTCCGTTCTTGTGTTCCAGTCTCTTGATCTACATATTCATACTTCCGGCTTCTGACTTCGTTAATCCTGACCTCTGGCATTCTTTGACTTCGGCTACCCCTTGACTATCCTGCTGTTCGTGTCCTTGCCTGTACTGCGACTTGGTGCTTTTTCCTGCACAGCCCACGTGCACAGATTCACAGTCCAGGTGGTTTCCTATCTGCTCACTTTGGTCTGTGTCTGTTTGGTTTGAGGAACATGACAAACCGTTCAAGGTGTTGCCTTGGCCTCAAAATCCCCAGATCTCAATCTGATTAAGGGTGTGCTGGAATAAATCCGATCCATGGAGGCACCACCTTGCAGCTTGCTGGACTTAAATGTTCTGCTGCTTATGTGTTTGTGCCAGATGCAACAAAACCCATTCAGAGGTCTTGTAGAGTCCATGCCTCGACAGATCGGAACTGTTTTGGCAGCACAAGGGGGGGCCTACACTATATTGGGTATTGTATTACTTGCTGTGCACATGTAAAGCGGTGTAATATGCAGATTTAATATGATTCAGGAGGGCAATCAATTCATGGATGCATTTCTTGTTATTTGATTTCCTTTCTGCAGCATCTGGATTTCGTGACTGCTCTTTATATAAACAAGTGATGACTGCAAGGAAATATGTTTGGGTTTGTCATCTTTTCCTCCCACGTGGCTGGGTATGGTTGAAATCATTGCAATGTGGCAAAATCGAGAAATCCTGAGCAAATTTGTCCCTAATATATTTCTATATTTATGGCTAGATTGTCAGTAGTAAAATATACGATATTGTGCCAATTTGTAACAGATTTTGAGTTTTAGCAATGATTTTTGATACCTTTTGTTCACAGTCCTATGTCTCCTTAACAAGATTCTTCACAGTGAGTTAAACAAATACTAATGAAATTAGCTCTCCAAGTGCCATGACTACCATGGCTGTAATGGGTATGGTTCCAGAAAGGCCCCAGTGTATTTGTCAAACCATGAATACCTTACTTCCTGGATTCTCTTTTTGGAGTATCTGTTTAGCTCTTCTAGGCTAAGCATGGCCATGTAGGCTTGCACTCATTTGCTGAATATAGAAATTTATCTTCTCATGCATGGCTTATAATGCATAGTCTTCTGAGATGGCTAGATACTCTGAATTTTATTAAAGGACACAGAGGCTCATATTATGCTTTATCTCTTTGCTGCTGAGGATTAAAGAAAGAAGGGATACTGTAAATATTTAAAGAAAAAATATGACATGTACCCTAAAGGTCTAACCATCATACAACATATTAACCAATAGGAATGCTCCTTGCTCTATAATATCCCATGTGATCTTAAACCCCTCCTCATTCTTTGCTGCTGCCTGCTCAGCTAAGTACCACTCCAATTTACTCTGTTTTGATTTTATTATTTCTATAATATATCACTGCTTTGGTGTATATTTAGTCAGTGTATACATTGATTTTTGTACAATTTTTTTTTATTCCTACTGTTTGTGTGGTCTGAGAGCACTGCTCCCTCACTTCAGCTCCCTCCTCTCCTCAGCCCCCCCACCCCTCTGCTTCCCGATCAGTTTGTTTATTTCCCGACCTGTTTCTTCTGTCTGCACCGATCCTACAACCCCTCTCACTGCTAGTTACTGCGGTCGCGGCCTCGTGTATGGCTGGTGCTGCTCGCGCATGCCCACATTGAAAGTGTGCATCGTGGCGGCCAGCTTGCGATTGGCAATTTTGCCGCGCTTTCTTCCATGGCCAATACCACTCGTCTGACTGAAGCAGCCTCCCAGTGTTCACCAGGAGCCAATCATGAGGGAACACTTGGTGAGCTTGCATTTTTTTTGGTCAGTGTGCCTAATTTATATACAGCTGATTCGGTCACTCCCTATATTCAGTTCCTCTGCCTCTCTAGGGCTCTGTCCATTACTGTGGGTGTGATTTTTTTTTTTTTTCCTACCATATCCTTAGGATATATATTATCCTCGCATACACTATTGTATTTACTGTATCATATTGTCCCACAAGGAGTTGGAAGTTTCTGCCGCCGGTTCTTCCACTGGGGTCACTAAAACCCCTGTGCCCCTTGTGGTGACCAGACCACCCACGCCAGCCATGCTGGATGAAGCATCACAGGAGCAAATGAATTCTGAGGAATTTCATTCTCTCCTGAATGCTACAATGGCGAAATCAGTAACAAAAGCCATCTTTTGGGCTATGGGGACCATGTCTGATAGCCTGCCCCACTTTATCACACAAGCCTTAATGTCCACCCAGAGACCACCTACTTTCATTTCCCCTGTGCCCCCAGAGAATAAACTGTCACTTGGAGGAGGATGCCTCTAAAACTTGTCAGACAGGCAGGGTACATCCTGTCACAGAGGATGTGGTTGCACCACAACAAAGAGCCATCCACCGGGCAAAATCGGTGAGAAACTGGAAGGGGCAAAAGCCCTAATTGTCTTCTGAATTGGAGTCGGAACAAGAGGAGGCACTGAGCGAGTCCGATGATGAGGACGCTTACAATTCAGGCGCATATTTACCTAACCATGGCTCCTTGTCAGGGCCTGGGGTTGACTCTAAGGTCGGGGTGGATGACTCCACCATTCTTGACCCTCAGGGTAACCCTTTCTTTGATCCGAATAACCTGCAGCATCCGAGATCTTCAGAGTGGTGCCCATTGGATCATGTGGCGAAATACATTGCCGCCTGCATTAGAAAGTCGCTTGACAAAGTCGGAAGGAATAAGCAGAATGCCCATGGCCCACTCTTCCCGATCGGCATGCACCACGCCGGGCGTGGACCCAAAAATCGCCCAATTTTTCTATAAAAGTGGGTGGAAGGCAAAAAGGGGCCTGGATTTTTCCTTGCGGACCAACCAGGATAAAATCCTGGATGTCTTGGGGCCAAGGGCGAAGATTTGCGGTTGAGACAGCCTTAGCGGGTGGACCCGCAGACTTGTTAGCCATCAGGGGGTGGATCCAACGATCTGTCTGTTTGTTACGGCATTAGCTACTGAGAGGCGCAAGGCAATACTCATAAAAATTGAGCCTAAGTTAGTGAATCTAGCTATTTCAGGACCACAGGCAAAAGGCCTCCTATTTGGGGACAGTTTTGTGAAGGAATTAGGCACATACGTAGGGACCTTCACGGCACTTGATAAAGCGCAAGCCAATATGAAACGGGTGTTCTCCCAGAGAGTTTTTGGCAGGGCCGGCAGATATCCGCCGTTCCTCCCGGGGTTCAAAACAGGGTACCTGAAGCTAAACTCACTCTAGGTTTCAAGCACCTGAACCCAAATCCAACTCACCGTTTTTCCCGGTTCCAGGCAGACCTCGCGGACCCAGAGGTTCTTCCTACGGCCTTTTGGTAAGTTCAAGTTCATGCCATTTCACTTCGCTATCAGTAGGGGCCAGTGACTGGCATCCAAGAAATACAGTGACTGGCATCCAAAGGTACAATCTTGAAAATTCATCCTCATACACCAGGTTTCCTGAGCAACCTTTTCCTAGTCCCCAAGAAAGGTGGGGGCGGTCGACCTGTCATAAATCTATTACCACTGAACGCTTTTGTCGCATACTGCCATTTCAAAATGGAGAGTATTCACTCTCTTCAGGACCGTCTCCTGTTGGGAGATTGGATGGTCAAACTCGACCTACAGGATCCATACATCACTGTCCCGATGGCATAAGACTCCCAACAATTCCTGCAATTTTGGTGGGAAAAGACCATGTGGCGATTCAAATGCCTTCCATTCAGCCTCTCTTCTGCCCCATGGTGCTTCACAAAACTACTGAAACCAGTAGTGGCCCTTCTGTGCAACAGAGGAGTTTGCCTCATAATATACTTGGACGATATCCTCAAAATGGCGCAGGACCCTCACACGCTCCACGTACACTTCTCCTGGACGATGGCTCTACTGAGCAATCTTGGTTTTCATCTCAATTTGGAAAAGTCGGTCCCCAAACCTTCTTAATCCATAGAATTCCTAGGATTCACCATAGATTCACTCCTATTACCACCCTCCAGAAATCAAGGCCATCAGGAAAGAAGTCCGCCAGACGTTGGCCCTTCCTGTCCTGACCGTGAGACAACTGGCCAGAATTCTTCCTGCATCGATTCAAGCCATATTACATATACTACAGAGCTTAGAACTGCTGACAGGCTCATTTTCCCTACAGATCATCTTGGGTGTATCGACCAACTCTTACGGATGGACACCGTATCAGCGGTTCATTACATCAACCATCTTGGGGGCACAAAGTCGACAATTTTAGGAAACCTAGCGAAGGAATTCTGTCAATTCTGCCTGGATCGCAATATTTCAGTACAGGCGGAATACATTCCGGGGATGTCCAACATAGCAGCGGATTGGAATTCCAGACACTTACGGAATGCCAGCGATTGGCGTCGAACCCTTCCGTTTCTCCCCGCCTATCTCTTTGGGTCCCTCTGCAGATCGTCTTTTTCGCATCACGTTTGAACTCCCACCTACCAAAAATATTTCATCTGGAGACCAGATCCAGAGGCTCTGGCATCATATGCCTTCCTACAACCATGACTGAACACTCACCAGTACGCTTTTCCACCTTTCTCTCGCATTGCCCGGACACTATTACACCTCAGACGTCACCGGATCTCCTTGATCCTCATAACCCTGTTCTGGACAGCTCAGCCTTGGTTCCCTACACTCATGGAAATGTCCATAGACTACCCAAGATTACTCCCTGTCTTCTCTGGCCTATTGCCTGATCCCAATAGGAACCCACATCCCCTTCTCCTCCAGGGACCTCTCAAACTATTAGCATGGCTCCTTTCCGGAAACTCTATTTCGTCCCTAACGTTCCAAGAACAACTCTGGAACTCCTGTCGGGATCTTGGGCACCAGGAAAAGGAAATCCTATCTCCATGCCTGGAACTCGTGGAATGGTTGGTGCATGGTACAACACATGGATACCATATCTGCACCTGTGATTCAGGTCCTGAGTTTCCTTACTTCACTGTTTTTAACACGGACTAGCATACCGTGCGATCAATCTCTAGAAGTCAGCCATATCAGCAGGCCACAAGGGTTGGAACGGATTTCCTGCAGGTAAACATCTCTTGGTGTCGACTCCTTTGTGGCATCAGATTTGTACATCCACCACTTCCTAAATATTCCTCCTTATGGGAGGTGAGCCTTGGCCTTCGATTCTTTGCCGTGGGTTGCTTGAGCGAAAGTTCTTCATTATGAGGCCAATTCTCAAAGTTAGTTATGTTGTTTTGTCTCATCTCCTGTAAACGTGTCTCAGACGTTCATGCACTGGACATAACGGCACGTTCTTTTACTCCAGATGGCGTTTCCTTTGACATCTCAAGGCGTATGAAAACATCCATTACCTCGGTCATTTATCCAGCCTTTCCACATAATGTTAACCTATGTCCAGTGACATGTCTCAAGGAATATGAGGAGAGGACCTCTTCGATCCGTGATCCTACATATGCTGATTTGTTTCTAGCCCTTTGACGCCCATATCAACCTGTTTCTACAGTGACCTTATCTCGTTGGGTCAAAGGGATCATGAAGTCGGCTGACATTGACACTTCCAAGTATGGAGCAAACTCTGTTAGAGGCGCTATGGCATCAAAAGCTTTCTCCTTAGGTTGCAGGTTAGAGCACCTCCTCCATGCTGCTGATTGGTCCCAGGAATCTACTTTTCGGGAATTCTATTTTCATCCAGTTCTTCATTTTTCCACCAGGGTGGTTGCACAGCTTTGAACGAGCATAAAATGAGCCTCCGTGTCCTTTAATAAAATTACCAGATTTTACTAATTTCATGAAGTAAAGTCATGACTTTATTAAGGACAAGTGGGCGAGTATTATCCCACCCGACACAGGTATGTTACTCCCTACCAGGGGTATAGGTATATAATTTCACGAGAAGTATACAGTCGTCATGGTAATGTGGTTATTTACCTAATTGAACTATTTCTGTTGATGTTAGCGTTGAAGAATTGGATATATTGCTCTTTCTAGAAGCACTGCGGATAGGATTTAATATCCAAGGACATATTTTATCACTTATTTCTTTGTCTTTACAGCCTCCTAATTAGTTTTACATTGGTCCCTCACATTCTCGAACGGATGTGTGCAAGTTTTATTCGAAGTTCCATTGTTGGATTATCCCAGAGTCTATGTTCTTCACATTTAGTTGGTCGTCTACTTCGGTCTTGTTGGAATGTTCCTCGGCACCAGTTTGAAAGAGGAGTGGCTTAAGGTCACATGGGACATTATAGAGCATTCCTATTGGTTAATATGTTGTATGATGGTTTACCCTGTAGGGTACATGTTGTATTTTTTTCTTTAAATATTTACAGTATCCTTTCTTTGCTGCTGAGGATTAAATAAAGAGATAAAGCATAAAATGAGCCTCCGTGTCCCTAATAAAATAATATATGTAGGTGATGGAAGTGTACTCATTCCTTCGTCCTGGAATTCAGGGTGCTTTAACGGATAAGTCCCAGTACCAAAAGAACCAAACATAGATAAGGCCCTAAGGGGTCGAAACGTTGCTTTTTGGTTCCTTGTTCCAATAAAAAATTGCCTCTACTTTGGAATTCATTGGAGTGCCTTGATTATTTTCTATATTCAAAGTCTGTAAGGCCCTAAGGGGTCGAAATGTTGCTTTTTGGTTCCTTGTTCCAATACAAATTGCCTCTTCTTTGGAGTGCCTGGATTATTTCCTAATAAAATAATGACTTTACGTCATGAAATTAGTAAAATCTGGTAATTCTCAACGTTTGTTGTAGGTGCTCATGTTCTGTTACTTTAATGACTTCTGCAGAAATACTTACAATTGTGTTTTTAAGCCTATCCATGTTCTTTCATTGCCAGTATTAAAAAAACTGTGCATATCACAATTTTGTTTTACGGATCAGTACAAGCCATTCAAAGAGACGACTCTTCTATTTTCTCACTCTTCGTGTTTTGCGGCACTAGCCAGCCTTTTTGAGGATTAGAGCTTTTCGTTTTCCAAACTTGTATTTCACAAACCGAGAATTGCACTTACTATACTGAATGTAACAAATAGATTCTTGACAATGAAAAGATTGAAACTTCAACATTGCTAGTGCTTTTATCTTGTGGTCTCCTCCTAGTGTCACCACTTCAATGAAGAAACCTGATTAGTCATGAGAACTTTGCTTGTACTCACCCATGATTTGTCATCTGGAGGAATGCTATCCCGTAGCTGGAAACTGGCCAGATGTGAAAAGTCATTTATACAGAAAGGGGAGAAACCTAGACTATCCAACAGCACTAGTCCCATGGACTAACTGAATATTATATCTAAATCAACACCATTTTATATATTAAGTAATAAATAGTATATACCAATGCTTTAGATTAGGCTTATGCTTGCTATACTTTTACGAAGTATCTGAAAGGCTATATTGCATTTGCCCTAGTTACAGGTCCACCAAGTAAACATAACAGAAACTTCATCAGTTAAAACAGGTACTAGACTTGTAAGATCAAACTAGAAAAAGCAAACAAAAGGTAAAACTGCTGTCTAAGTTAATTAGTAAAACATTTTGCAGGAGATGGCAATATATCATCCTATTCCTAGGCAAGGGAAGGTGTAGTAAATGGATCTTTAAAATCATCAGACCCAATTGAGTCCAGTTATGCATGCCCATTGCACTCCCAGACCCCACATCACCAGCTTCAAGCAAGTACCGGAACCAATAAAAATTGTTATACAAGTACCGGAACCTGCACGCAACTTTTCCACCACACCATGTGCGCACAGGGCAAAGTCCAGAGACACCCCCTTTAGCTCCATGCCCAGGAAGGGAACGATGGACTGAAGCACCGCTGGATGACCGTTTGGTACCAGGTGAGTTGAACTGAGGTGCCAGCTCGTTGGTCATATGATATGAGAAAAGCCTCTCTCTGCCCTTGTTGTGTCTTCTCCGGTGATGGATTTGATGTGGCATGGTTAGCTGCAATCTTGAGGTGCTCAAGATGTTGTGTGTTTTCAGACTGGTGAGTGCCCAAAGTAAGTGTTCCTAGTAGATAACTGTGAATATCTAAGTTGCTGGAGCCCGCCAGTCCAGAGGTGGTAAGAGGGCTCCGGTAGATTTGTCAATAAGAGCAGGGAATTGGCCGCATCCCCTCCCCTGCCTTGTCTGATTTGAGCACGCCATCAGCCATTACTGGATACCACTGTCCAAAAGAAGGGGATGGTGTCCTCAGAACAGAAGAGAGATGGGGGTATCGTTTTCAGGCTATAAGTATAGATTTTCAGCGTTTTTGGTGGGTTTTGTAAAGGAGTCCCTGTGATATGTGTCCAGCTTCGTCAACAGCCCATTCCTGCCCTCATTAAACAGATCTGAAGGTTGATAAACACATACAGTACAAATAATAATTAGAGCAGAAATTTTTCTTGTTCAACTACAGTTCTCCCCACACCAAAATAACTTTTCCAGTTCATCTTAATTATGCATTGTAATTATCACTCACTGTTAACGTGCAAAAATCCCATGGCCATATGTTTACAGAGAAAGCAGGATAATTGCTGATCTGAAGGCTTCTGTACTGAATACAAAATGTCAGGTTCTTTCACATTATTAAAAATTAAAATCAGCACTCTCTTTAATGGTGGCACCTGCATTTCACATACGTTGCTCATTTTGTGATGTACTGCTCCATACACCCATATCGTACTTCAATAGCAGCAGAGATCTGCCTCCCTTGAATCTAAATGTGCAAGCAGTGACTGAAACCGTGAATATATTCTTACAACAGGACTCTCATTTGTGAAGTGGTGACATGGAAGATCGACCTTTATAACCCCACTCTCTGACGTTCTCTACACACAGGGCTGATGACACCTGCAGTTACTTGCTAAATGGCTTAAACAGTGCAATCTTCCACTTCATGTAGATCCAATATCTAGCACATACCTAACTCATTACATGATTAGGTTTGCTGCACAAAACTATCAATAGATTTTATTCTGGGGAAAAGAAAGGCAGCGGTAAACATGCTATGACGCAGGATTCTTGTTTCCAAGAACACAGATGTAAAATGGAACAAATATTATGCAAACCAGGACCTGTATGAAAACAAAAGTTACTCAGCACCACTTAAAGCAAATAAGATGATAACCGTGCAGGAAATGGCCTGCCGTACCTTGCTATCTGTCTCATATGGGAGAAACCAGTAATAAAATAAAAATGTATTTGTTCAATGTGTTTATACATAAGGTGGATCACTACCACGGAAAGGGTGTGAATGCATTGGACTTTGAATGTGTGAACACATTTTAGAGAAGCACTCCTGTTATTTTTTGTAATTTTTTTTTTTTTTTTTTTAATGCAAACAAAAAAATACTATAATATATATTAAAATTAATTTATACACGTGGGTCACTACTCCAGTTATTTATTTTACTTTATATATGTGTGCATCGCAAATACTCAAAATTTATAATATCAACATAAGCTCTGTACAAATTTAAGGAGTGGCTCAAACAAATCGCGTGACCCATCATTTTGATGTTGAACCTATCCATACAAATTGCTTATTTGTCAGCAGACCACTTTTTGTGCCATAGTTCTCCTGCATGATAGAGTACTTAGGGGGTATATTTACTAAACCCCAAACAGCAAAGAACTATACTAAAATTGGGTTTGTTCACCGACAAATAAGGACAGACTTTCAGGCATCTTTTGGTGTGTATTAATCAGGGTTCCTTACAAAATACCAAAATTCTCAAAGTAATTGCACATTTTACTCCAAAATAATCAAACCAGAGAAACTTCTCCAACTCTGCTATTTAGGTCTCAAAGGTACAATTCCCTGGTAGTTTACTCAGTTTTCAGGTTACTAAATAAATTTTTTTTTTTTTTTATACTATTCAAAACCAGGGAAAAGCCTCTGTAAATGTTTTAAAAAAATAAATTTTTATTTATATATAAACAGGGGGGGAGGCTGCACTCACCTGAACATGCATTAATGGGGTGCTGCTGGAGGCAAAATTATACAATACACAAGATCCAGCGCACTCACCTATCCACTAAACCGCAACTTCAATGTTGACAGATTTTATTATATATATATATTTTTTTTTTTTTTTTTAAACTCCTAATCTAGGCAAAAATAATGGGAGTTTAGTTAAATTATATGATCATACATTGTGGCAGGCATATGCAATGTATGATCATATAATGTAACTAAACCCCCATTATTTTGCCTAGAATAGGTGATTAAAAAAAATAAAAAATAAAATCTGTCAACATTGAAATTGCTGTTTAGTGGATAGGTGAGTGCGCTGGATCTTGTGTTATATATTATCTTTATTCCACTTGTATCACAGATGCTATAACATTTTGTGAATGTATTATCTAACTAAAATTCATTGATATTCTGTGAAACCTTAATGTGTTTAAATTGGTAAATACTCTGCTCTAGTTTTGCTGATGTGATGTGCATCTGAGTGTGTAACAGAATTGTTTTTTATCCAGGAAATAGGTTTTCTCTGTAACCCACATTCTGATCCCGTCTGTAGAGTTTAGCCCTAAACACAATGTATATTTAGTGTCTCTGTACCTTACAGGATAATTACCAGCTGTACACTCTGTTTCTGCAGGGCTCCTATGGAGTGGTGAAACTTGCATACAACGAAGATGATAACACGTACTATGTAAGTAAGGAGTTAACACCTCCTGCCGACACAGGATTAGTGCAAACAAAGTGCACTGGGTGGGTTTAACAGAATAATATTCCTTTTTTATTCCTTCAAAGAAGTACTGGCCTTTTGTTTGTGGATGAGTATGTCACTCAGTTCTGATAAAACATTTTAATCAATAGTCAGATGCTTTTAAATGCGCTATTATGAAATGCCTGCCGTTAATTTACACATTAATGAGCTTCAGTCCTTGAGAATAAATAGAATGCAAATGTCTTGCGTATTGTTCATATCGTTGTGCTTCCTGCATATAAAAGTATTCTTGAGGTTGACTAATCCATCTAGCCTGCCCCCATCCCCTTAGAGGGAGGGGAGGTAACTTTTTTGTTTGTTTGTTTGTTTGTTTTTTTATTTATTTTTTAATCATTTTCTCCTCAAACGAGCTTCTGAAGCACCGTCTTGTGATTGCGATATGGCGCTCCTTAACATTTACAGGGTTATTAAGTGATAGTTCAGAGGTCACAGCAGTGAAACTTGAAAATTTTCAGTCAGTAAGTAAGTAGGGCCGGACTGAGACCTAAAAGCAGCCCGGAACAAATTCTACACCAGCTCAATAATGCATAGCGCCAGCATAGTTTGCTGATCAAGAGGTGGAAAAGATAACTTAAAATGGAAAACTATTACTCCAACGAAGGGAAGCACTCATAGGGCTTTAAAATAAACAAAAGAGCGGCTTTTTTAAAAGCAGACGTATATTTGCATGTAATCAACGTTTCAGTCCAACTACCTTGACATATTAAGAAAAGTTTGGAAATGAGACTGCAATGGTGAAGATATGTGGTTGCACAGCTGTAAAAATGAAGTTATTTGGTTTATTTTGAATTTCTAGGAGTGTGCGCTTCACTTCGAATATGTTAACATGCTGGAGTATGCACCAAGACTGAGCCAATGCGTGCTTCTTACATATATGTTATATATTAATGAGATTTATGTGTGTATTATGTATATACACTGCCTGGCCAAAAGTCACCACCTGGGTTTAAGCAAATAGTTACTGCATGGGCGATTATCTTTCAGCTGGCAACAAGTTATTTAACCCCAACTGATGCAATGAGTAGCTGCTCATTTCTGTTTGAGAAGGGTCAAATCATTGGCATGCATCAAGCAGAGAAAACATCCAAGGAGATTGCAGAAACTACTAAAATTGGGTTAAGAACTGTCCAACGCATTATTAAAAACTAGAAGGATAGTGGGGAACCATCGTCTTTGAGGAAGAAATGTGGTCGGAAAAAAATCCTGATTAATCGTAATCAGCGGTCACTTAAACGTTTGGTAAAATGAAATCGTAGAAAAGCAACAGTGGAACTCAGGGCCGCAGCCAAATGTACAAGTTGTGATCAAAACAAAACGTTAGCAAAACCTGGTATTTGCGCCATATGTCTGTCCAACCGTAATTCACCTCTTTCATATTATGTGCACCCACACTTATTCTATATCATTTTGTTCAGGGGAAACAGGGCTTTCATTTAACATCAAATATTTAGGTATGAAACATAATTTAATATGAATAAATATAGAAAAAAGGGAGAAAATATATTTTTTTAATTTTCTTAGTTCTACGTGACATTTTAACTGTGTCAAAATACTGTTTGCTTTTACTGCAATAAAATACACATATTTGTATTCAGCAACGTCTCACTTGTAAAACAGATCCCCTATGTACAGGTTTTATGGTGTTTTGGGAAGTTACAGGGTCAAATATAGCGTGTTACATTTTTTATTTTTTTCACATTGAAATTTGCCAGATTGGTTATATTGCCTTTGAGAGCGTATGGTAGCCCAGGAATAAGAATTACCCCCATGATGGCATACCATTTGCAAAAGTAGACAACCCAAGGTATTGCAAATGGGGTATGTCCAGTCTTTTTTATAGTAGTCACTTGGTCACAAACACTGGCCAAAGTTAGTGTTAATATTTGAAAATGCAACAAAACTAATTTGAACATCAATTTTGGCCAGTGTTTGTGACTAATTGACTACTAAAAAAGACTGAACATACCCCATTTGCAATACCTTGGGTTGTCTACTATTGCAAATGGTATGCCATTATGGGGGTAATTTCCAGTTCTGGGCTACCATACGGTCTCAAAGGCAACATAACCAACCTGGCGAATTTCAATGTGAAAAAACTGAAACGCAAGCCTTATATTTGACTCTGTAACTTTTGAAAACACCTTTAAAACCTGTACATGAGGGGTACTGTTATACTCTGGAGACTTCGCTGAACACAAATATTAGTGTTTCAAAACCGTAAAACGTATCACAACAATTATATCGTCAGTGTAAGTGCCATTTGTGTGTAACAAATGCAAAAAATGTCACTTCCACTGACGATATCGTCGTTGTAATACATTTTACTGTTTTAAAAAAACTAATATTTGTGTTCAGCGAAGTCTTCCGAGTAAAACAGTACCCCCATGTATAGTGCTAGCAAATTAAATTCCCTGAACTTTCGGCCTGGGTTGTCAGGCAGGTTCTGCAAATTGTAATTAATAAAATGACCTAACTATGTAAAAATATTACGTAAATATATACGTAGAATTATATATATATGTGTGTGTGTGTGTATGTGTGTATATATATATATATATATATATATATATATAATATGTAATATTTAATTATTTTTATTTATATATAGTGATATATACTTATGGATATAGATATTTTATTCTAAATGTATTTTTATATCTATATATATATATATATATATATATATATTAATTTTAAAATACAGTTATAACGAAATTACACATGTATATATATTTTTAATTTAAAAATAATTTTTTTTAACGTATTTACATGTTTATTTTTTTTATATATATATATATATATATATATATATATATATATACACACACTAGAAAAGCTACAATTTCTGGGGAAATTGTGTAAAGTGTTCTTGCCTACAACTGGAATCGGTGGAGTAACTGTTATTATTTATTTATATAGCATATTTAACCCCATTCAGGACCGAGGACGGTTCAGGAACGTCATCGGCATTTTTGCATTGCCGACCGGTGACGGTCCTGAACCGTCCTAACGGTCCAATGTACTTACCCGATCGCCATCGTTCCCCCGGAGGCGATCGGTGTTGCTCCCGTTGTGGGGAGACTGCCTGCAGCCCAGACAGTTTCCCCATGGCGAATTAGGACCCTTGGGTCCATGTGATCGCTCGACAGAGCGATCACATGGTCACAATAGGTGTCCATGTGTCTGCCTGCAGGGGGACTGCCTTTGCTGACAGAGAATTTAATATATATCATATATAATGTCATACTAAGTGTATTTTTATATTAATATGTACATATATTAATATAAAAATACACTTATAATTAAATTACACACGTGTAATAATATATATAATAACTATATATATATTGTATATAAATATTATTATTATAAAATACAAATAAGTAATTACAATTAAATCAAAACATGTAAAAATAATAAATTAAAAAATATATATATATATCTAATCTAAAATTTTATTCTAACTGTATTTTGATAGTTTTATATATATATATATATATATATATATATATATATATTTATATCAAAATACACTTTGAATGAAATTGTGTATATCTATGTGTGTGTGTGTGTGTGTGTGTGTGTGTGTATATATATATACATATAGAGAAATAGTAGCAAAGAGAGCACTCCAAAGGACTTGTTGAAAAAATTTTTTATCGGTGTACAGAAAAAATCGACGTTTCGACCCGCAGGTCTTTATCAAGATGCATAACACAGTGAAGTGATAACATTTATAGCAGTAAATAATTAGGGGGTAATCACTTACCCTAAGATAGGTGTGCAGCTACGGAACCATGTGTACATGCTGTGAATAGATGAAAAGTAGCGTGTGAGTTCCGTAACGGAGTGATGACGTCAACCAAATGCGACCAGGAAGAGGTGGTGAAAAGGCGTCCGGTTTCCATAGAAACGAGTAAGTGATCGTGTATGGTGTGAAACAGTAAAATAAACCAGATAGAAAAGATCTATACAAGTAAGAGAGAGAGAATAATGGCCATGGTATATCTTAAAACGGACATATATTAAGTATGAACAGAAAGTCCAGAGAAAATAAACATATAGAAAGCGATGAAGAAAAAAGTATTAAGTAAAAAAGATCAAACCATAAAAAGATAGTGAAAAAGAAAAAAAAGAGATAGAAAGAAGGAAGAAAATGGAAGAGATAAAAAAGGAAAAGAAAACTACCGTGACAACTAAAGAAGTGGAGCAATAACACTATGTATCAAAATAGTGAAACCGTGAAACAGAGTAAAAAGAGAGAAAATGAAACATATAGAATAACGAAGAAAATAAGGACCATCGGTAAATACATATATTAGAATAACCACAAACATTGTGTATACATATACATTGTACTATCAATATCCAGTATGCATAATAAGTACACCATGGAACTGCTAATAAAAGCAGAAAATCCCTTATGCAGAAAAATGACAAGATTAAATAATTAGACCTTTAAAAATGAGAACGAGAAGATAGTAAGAAGCAGGACCAAAAATTACACAGATAAACAACAAATCAAATTAGCGTATATCTAAAAATGGATGGAAAGACAAATATTCATTCAGGCCCTTGGGATATAAAGTGTCCAATGCTTTAATCCAGTAAACCTCCCGCTGAAGTAGAATCTTAGATCGATCCCCCCCTCGGCTAAGAGGGGGAATGTGATCAATAGCAATAAATTTAAGGGTGGGAAGCCGATGATTCGCCTCTAAGAAATGTTTAGCCACCGGTTTATCGGTCTTGCCATCCCTAAAGGCGGTCATAATCCCCGATCGGTGACCACGCATTCTATCCCGCAATGTAAGATCAGTCTTTCCCACATAATAAAGTCCGCAAGGACAAGATATTAAATAAATCACATGAGTGGTAAGGCAAGTGATGTGATGTTTAATAAGATAACGTTTCCCTGAATGTGGATGAGCAAACAAATTTTTTTCAACAAGTCCTTTGGAGTGCTCTCTTTGCTACTATTTCTCTATCTATTTACGCTTTGCAGCACCGAGGCGTTTTTTGGGATCATCATTTTTTAAAGGTAGAGTGCCGGATTTTGTACATATTTATATATTTTACAGTGTATGGCGATACACTTTCTGTGCACCTCCATTTGAACTATTTTATAGTTCTTATAATGCCATATTCGTTTGGTTACTTGTACTCTGGATAGGTGTTTCTCCAGACTCAACCTCTCTTTAAACAGGATGGAAGATTTTTTATTAAGGGCTGGAGCCCTTTCTGAAACTGCAGAAACTTTGCAATTAAATGAACAAGATGCAGATAAAATCTTGTGGCCTAACACTACTACAGAACTGGCACATATAGACTCTATTAGAGACTTATATAATGATTTAACTAAATTGAAGAGACGAGAGACAGACTTAGATTTGCACGGTATTTTTATCTCTGATTACTATCGGGCTAAACGGATCCCCAGAGGTTTTAGAGTCCGTAATTCACCTACGATTGGACGTCAAAATCCAGAATTTTGTAAAAAATGGACTGGGATTGCAAACAAATGTTCATTGGACTGGATGCTGATAGTAGTTGAGGAAGTGCGAAATGAATTAATTTTTACTAAGGAATCCATTAATAAGTTTGAAGTACTGCATACTTCTATTCTTACAGCTGCCACCTCTACCCAATATATGGTCAAATTACAGGATGAAATCACTAGATATAGAAATGATTTGATTAGATTTAAAAAACAAAAATTAGAACGTGTTAATCTTGATTATACCCACCACCAGGTTTACCATTGGTTATGTGGGGAGCGACGTAAACCTAATTTTTCAAGATATAAACAGAAGGTTCGCAAACCTCAGTTCCTATCGATTGACACGAGTTCTGCCGACTCTACCTCGGAAACTGAAAGGGTGGGAGCATCCCAAGACGTGCAAGAATCATTACCTGGACATTCTACAAGACCACCTTTTTTCCCCCAAGATCAACATACCAACGACCCGCCGGGATTCAACACAAGGAGAAGAAGAGATCTAAGAGACCCACAATCACTAGACGTGGGCAGAGGGGTAAAAAATATAGGTACTCGTCCCAAGCCATCGAACAGGAGAATTTGACTCCTATTTTTAACTTATCTTCAAAAATATTGAACTCTGATCACATCAAAGTACTTTCAAAAGGTCTTACATTTGTTCCCACCCCTAAACCCGATGTATTCAAGACAGACATTGATTTATATAAAATGGAAAGAACCCTTAATCTACAAACATTTAAATCAGATGTACAACAGCATATAAAACATCATTTTCGTTTGAAAAGTATATGGGAACCGAAAACCACACATCCATCTATTAAATCTTTTTCTTATCTAGTTAAAAATGATGTCCGCCAAATTTTGTCGGACTCCAAGTCCATTTCACCAAATTTAACATCTAAGGAATATAAAGCTCTTAAGGAACTTGCAGACGATTCTAATATAATCATCAGACCAGCGGGCAAAGGCGGGGCCATAGTACTACAAGACTATGAACCCTACCGATTAGAGATTCTTAGACAATTGTCCGACAATACGACATACAAAAAAATTGCCTTTGATCCTACAAATAACATCATGGAGAAATTACAGTCATTGGTTCATAGAGGGGTCAGTGCTGGTTGGTTGGATGATCACATGGCCAAGTATTTGATTGATTTGTATCCTAAAATCCCTTTACTGTACACTTTGCCTAAGGTACACAAAGACCCCCTCAATCCTCCTGGCCGACCTATCGTCTCTGCCAAGCGTGGCATTTTAGAACCGTTGGCTAAATTTGTTGATTATCATTGCAAGACACCTACCTTACTCATACCAACATGCCTCAAAGATACACAGGACCTTCTTACTCACTTGAGACAAGTCTCTCTTCCGGATGGACCCATCACTTTAGCAACTGTAGATGTAAAAAATCTGTATACTATCATACCGCACAAAGATGGGTTAGATGCTATGAGACAAGTCTTAATTCATTCTGATCAATATAAGGGGCCTCCCATTGAATATCTTCTCGAATGTTTGGAATTTACTTTGATTAATAACTACTTCCGTTTTGAGAAATTTTTCTATCTCCAACAAACAGGCACGGCGATGGGATCGGCGATAGCTCCTAATTATGCCAACAGCTATATGTTTTCGTATGAACAACAACATATTTTATCAAAATACCAGGCCAATCTCATATTATATTGTAGATATGTGGATGATATCCTCATGATATGGTCAGGTCCTGTTTCATCTTTCGACACCATGATAGAAGATCTTAATCAGATTAATTCACCTGTACGTTTTAGCCATTGTTGTGATGCCAACAAGATTGAATTTCTTGATGTCTTAATATATCGGATGCACAACTCAATTGGCTATACTCTATACAGAAAGACTTCTGATCGTAACACCTTATTACACGCCACCAGTTTCCATCCAGGTGCTCTTAAGAGATCACTTCCTATCTCACAATTTCTTCGAGTACTGAGAAACAACTCAGACCCAGATAACACCAAGGCACAGATTATTGTGATGCAACAAGCCTTTCGAGATCGAGGGTATTCGAAGTATACACTTAAGCGATCGTTGGACAGAGCCTACGATATCTACAATAAGTCTTGTACTACAACAACTATGCTATCTCAGCAACCTACGAGAATTACAGTACCATTGCTGTATCATACAGCAAGTGACCAAATTGCAAAGGTTATCCGTAAAAGGTGGGACTTATTGGCTTCTGATCCCACATTATTACCTGTTTTCTCTCATCCTCCTCGGATTTCGTTTAGACGGAATCGTAACTTAAGAGATATGTTGGTTAAAAATGATTGCCCCACTCAATACACAACGGAAAAAGCTCATACTAAATTGGGTTGCTTTAAGTGCCCCAATTGTGTCACGTGTGGACATATGCTTACCGGACCCTCGTTTGCTCATCCACATTCAGGGAAACGTTATCTTATTAAACATCACATCACTTGCCTTACCACTCATGTGATTTATTTAATATCTTGTCCTTGCGGACTTTATTATGTGGGAAAGACTGATCTTACATTGCGGGATAGAATGCGTGGTCACCGATCGGGGATTATGACCGCCTTTAGGGATGGCAAGACCGATAAACCGGTGGCTAAACATTTCTTAGAGGCGAATCATCGGCTTCCCACCCTTAAATTTATTGCTATTGATCACATTCCCCCTCTTAGCCGAGGGGGGGATCGATCTAAGATTCTACTTCAGCGGGAGGTTTACTTGATTAAAGCATTGGACACTTTATATCCCAAGGGCCTGAATGAATATTTGTCTTTCCATCCATTTTTAGATATACGCTAATTTGATTTGTTGTTTATCTGTGTAATTTTTGGTCCTGCTTCTTACTATCTTCTCGTTCTCATTTTTAAAGGTCTAATTATTTAATCTTGTCATTTTTCTGCATAAGGGATTTTCTGCTTTTATTAGCAGTTCCATGGTGTACTTATTATGCATACTGGATATTGATAGTACAATGTATATGTATACACAATGTTTGTGGTTATTCTAATATATGTATTTACCGATGGTCCTTATTTTCTTCGTTATTCTATATGTTTCATTTTCTCTCTTTTTACTCTGTTTCACGGTTTCACTATTTTGATACATAGTGTTATTGCTCCACTTCTTTAGTTGTCACGGTAGTTTTCTTTTCCTTTTTTATCTCTTCCATTTTCTTCCTTCTTTCTATCTCTTTTTTTTCTTTTTCACTATCTTTTTATGGTTTGATCTTTTTTACTTAATACTTTTTTCTTCATCGCTTTCTATATGTTTATTTTCTCTGGACTTTCTGTTCATACTTAATATATGTCCGTTTTAAGATATACCATGGCCATTATTCTCTCTCTCTTACTTGTATAGATCTTTCCTATCTGGTTTATTTTACTGTTTCACACCATACACGATCACTTACTCGTTTCTATGGAAACCGGACGCCTTTTCACCACCTCTTCCTGGTCGCATTTGGTTGACGTCATCACTCCGTTACGGAACTCACACGCTACTTTTCATCTATTCACAGCATGTACACATGGTTCCGTAGCTGCACACCTATCTTAGGGTAAGTGATTACCCCCTAATTATTTACTGCTATAAATGTTATCACTGCACTGTGTTATGCATCTTGATAAAGACCTGCGGGTCGAAACGTCGATTTTTTTCTGTACACCGATAAAAACATTTTTCAACAAGTCCTTTGGAGTGCTCTCTTTGCTACTATTTCTCTATCTATTTACGCTTTGCAGCACCGAGGCGTTTTTTGGGATCATCATTTTTTAAAGGTAGAGTGCCGGATTTTGTACATATTTATATATACATATATATATATAAATAAAAATAATACGTCTATGACATCACTTGCTGCTCCAGCCTGGCACAGGTCAGAGTATTTTGTCGGTTGCCGTCTTCAAACTGTCGTATTTTAAAAACTATAAATCCTACAGCGAAGAGCTTTACATTGTGATAATCACAAGACCCAGACCTACATTTTGATGCATAGTCTCTGAAGTATTAAAAATGAAGGCACAGTCGCAGTTAAGAAATTGCCCTTTAAGTTTGGGCTGGCTAGAGTGAAGTTTCAATGAATGTCAATGGACGGCGTGAGTTGCAAACAAATGGTCATATTACTTTTTTTCACCAACATATGCCAAAGTATGTGGTAAAAAATAATTTGGGGCATTTTTTACATACGGATTACATTTTCGTTGGGCATTTTGTACATTTCATATGTGCCACTAAGTTCAAACCCCCCAAATTATGCTCCGCTAAGTCTTCTGAGTAAAACAATATGCCCAATGTATGACCTAGACACTATTTTGTGAAGTTACACTGCTGTAAAAGAGACGTGACAAGTTAAGGTTTTTAAGTGTGAATTTTCATGGAGGGTTTTGATGCGTCCGTGTCCCACTTTGGAGCACTTGAGCAGGCTACATATTACAACTACACCATAAAGGCATACCATTTCTTAAAGAAGACATCCCAGGGTATTTCAAAAGGTATATTTTGAACGTTAGTGTGGGATAACTTTTCCGCTAGCTTGTACCAAGTGTAGTGGTAATAAGCTTGTTTTTTGCCTTTTTGACACACAAAGTTTGCACAGTATATTTTGCAAATCGTATGTGTGCTACGACTGTATAATACTTCATATGTTGCTCAGCTATGTCGGCTGAGTACAGCAATACCCCCGTATGTACCTTTGCCTGGTATATGTGGATATCGGAGGGGCACATTTGGGACACAGCCATTCCAGTTCTTTTCAAACTTTGAATTTTTACGCTGTGTCCATGTCCCATTTTAGAGTATTTTACCAGGCTATATAATCCAAATACCCCATAAAGCCATACCATTTCTTAAAGAAGACATCCCAGGGTATTTCAAAAGGCCTATTTTGAACCTTAGCGTGGGATCATTTTTCCGCTCGCTTGTACCAAGTGTAGTGGTAATAAGCATTTTGTCTGCCTTTTTGACACACAAAGCGAGTTTGCGCAGTATATTTTGCAAACCTTATGTGTACTACGACTGTATACTACTTCATATGTTGCTCAGCTATGTCGGCTGAGTACAGCAATACCCCCGCATATACCCTCGCAAGGACCTCGCAATCACATGGCCCAGAGGGGCCGAAGAGGAAGGAGGGGGACTCCCTTGGCTCCCAGGTGAGTCCCCATACCACGATTGCCAGCGACCGGGTAAGTACATAAGATCACAGGGCATTCTATGCCGTGCTGCGGCGTTTAGAGACGATTCCTTAAGGATGGCATAGAACGCCCTGCGGTCTTAAGGGGTTAATAGTGAAAGTAAGAGCATTTCCACAGGCATAATGCAAAGGGAACTTAAGGAATCGAGACTGAACAGCAACATTATGTGCCCAAAGAAGGAGGTTAGCTGACTACCTGAATGTACTGAATTATATTTTCTTCCCTGATGGCACGGGCATAATCCAAGGTGACAATGCCAGGATTCATTGGGCTCAAATTGTGCAAGAGTGGTTTTGGGAGCATGAGACATCATTCACACATGGATTGGCCACCACAGAGTCCAGACCTTAACTCCATGGAAAACCTTTGGGATGTGCTGGAGAAGACTTTGGGCAGTGGTCTGACTCTCCCATTATCAATACTAGATCTTGGTGAAAAATTAATGCAACACTGGACGGAAATAAATCTTGTGACATTGCAGAAGCTTATCGAAACAATGCCACAGCAAATGCGTGCTGTAATGAAAGCTAAAGGCGGTCCAACAAAATATTAGAGTGTGTGACTTTTTTTTGTTTTTTGTTTTTTGGGCCAGGCAGTGTATAAATGTATATTAATATGTGTAAATATTATAGACATAATTTTATTTATATATATATATATATATATATATATATATATATTACTAATACACGTATTAATATACATGTATGTATGTGTAGATATAAATGTGTGTGTATTACTGTCAGAATCACATCAATTACACCTGTCTTCACATTGTGTTAGCAAACTGTATATATTGGAAGGAAAATCTATTTAATAAGAGGTCTTTCTCTCACCTGTCAATTAGTTCTTCGGCATAAACTCCCGTACTGAAGAACGGAGTTACAGAGAGAGCAGGAGACACTGGCGAAAATGCATCTTCTCTTGTGTTTCTCATAACTCCCTTTTGAATTTCTTGCCTTTTTTTGTTTTAGTCCCATTATTGATTGAAAAAAATTTTTTTTTCTTTTTTTTAAACCTCCTTTCGTGTATCTTGTCTCCAATTTTTCTTACAACCCGCCCTTGTGTCTCTCTTTTTTTCAAGAGCATAGGGTAGTAGTATAAAATCTGTGTGGTATTCATATGTACTGCACATTTTAGTATTATATAAACATGAGTATAGAACTTTAGGCATGATATAGACTAATGATAAGTAGCATAACTATAATAGTATGGTATATCATGCTAGAGTAATCTGTTAAAGAGTAGAACCACTGAAGTCAGGTCTATATTGGGCTACTGCACTTCATGCAAAAATAAAAATAAGCAAATATATTCAACAGATATAGTGACCCTCAGCAAGGCATAAATATTATATAAGACAAAATGTCATCAGCCTATAGTTTGAGGCAAGAAATGTAGAGCGCTTGCTTAAGAGTTCCCTTGAACATCAGAGGCGTAGCGCCACGGCAGGTCACCCCCCCAGCCCCATGCCTGAATGAGGACCGACATCCAGGAACCACAGATATGGTGATTTGTAGGTGGCAAGTCTTCCCCCAGCAGGGGTAAGTGAAAGAACCACGTGGTAAGCACCTCTTTCGGCGTATGAGCTTCGGCTTGTGTGGTCGGCACGTGGAGGTACCCTAGGGAGGCAGACTGGGACAGCAGGCCCATGTGTGTTTTGGCATTTTCAAAGATTTGCTCAGTGGGGGTTTCCTCCTCTCCGGCACCGCGCGCCTTTTATCACCTCCCTGCGTTTGAAGCAGAACATGCTTTGCAACGTAACTGAAGTTTCTCCAGAAGGCCCGGAAGTGCCCCTCCAGACGCAGCAATACGTAGTCACATGAGGCCAGGGCCCCAGTTTCATGAAGAGCAGCTGCCATCTTAAATGTCAGGTGTAGTATGTTTCGAGGGCAACTCAGAGCAAGTGCAGCAGAAGTTGCTCAGAACAGTCCAGTGGTGACCGGGATAACCCCCGCCATTCAAAGGAGTGCTGCCGCTCTGTGACCGGAAATGGAGAGCGGGGAGAGCGGCCGCCTCTCCCTAACACCAAACCACTTGTGTATCTCTTTTAACTCCCCTTGTGTATTCTTAACTTCATCTCAGCCCATGGGTGTCTCTTTTTACCCTTCTCCAGCCCTCTGTGTATGTCTCTTTCCCCCAGCCCCTTTTGTGTATGTCTTAGTCCCAGACCCTTTTCTCTTTCTCCCATTCCGAAAGCCCTCTGTGTGTCTTTCTAATTCCAGACCCTCTGTGTGCCTCTTTCTCTTTTCCCAGCCATTCTTTGTCTCTTTTTCCCCCCCAGCTCAGCTTTGCCCCCCTACAAACCTTGTGTGTCCCTTTGTTCCCCTTCCCTTCTGTATGTCTTTTTGTCCCCCCAACAAACCACCTCTGTCTCTCTTTCTCCCCCTCACTGCTCCTCTGTATCTTTCTCCCTCTCCTCCCTCTCCTCCCTGTGTCTCTCTTCCCCCTCTGTCTCTTTCTCCCCCTCTGTCTCTTTCTCCCCCTCGTGTCACTTTCTCCACCCTCTCTTTCTCTCCCACTCCTCCTGTGTCTCATTCTCCTTCCCTACCCATGTCTCTTTCTCCCCCTCTGTCTCTTTCTCCCAACTCCCCCTGTATCTCTCTTCCCCCTCTGTCTCTTTCTCTCCCTCCCCCTGGGTCTATTTATTACCCTCTGTCTCTTTGTCCCCCCTCCCCTTGTGTATCTTTCCTACCCCTCTGTCTCATTATCCCCCCGTGTCTATTTCTCCCCACTTTACCACCCTGTGAGGTTGACCTTGTCTGACAGTCTGTCAGATAGCATAGGAGGACTGACAGATGGAGCAGACCTGACTATCATGCACACTACTCTATGATGTGTCCATGCTGGGAATTGTGGGAACCGCGAGGGAGCATGCTCCATCCCTCAGTCCTCCTGTGCTTTCCAGCTAAGCGGCCACCTGGCCCGGCAGCACCACATGCATTACAAGAGTTGCGGCCACCAGACCGGCAGCACCTACATGCAGGCGGCGGCTACGATATTACTGAAAATGGCAGCAGGGCAGGGAGCCCCCAGGGAAGAATTAGAGTGCTGCTCAGCCCCTGGTATCGCGGCCCACCAGGAAATTTCCTGGTATCCCGGTGGGCCAGTCCAACCCTGTAAGCTATATACGTTTGGCCTTACTGTGGCCTTACATTTGCATTTGACTATGAATTCTCACTTTAGTGAATAACCCTGTGAAAGTGTATTTTATGGTTTCCAGCGGAACATTTAACGATCACTATCCATACTCTGAAATGATTGACCTAATACACCGTGTGTCAGCTGTGTTTATTTTCTGTGTTGCCTCAAGTCACTTAAAGGAACACTACAGTGTCAGGAACACAAGAATGTATTCTATGAAACGGCAGTGTGTGCATGGATATGCCTACAGGGAATGATTGTACTCAGCAGAAGAACTACATTAAGCTGTAGTTGTTCTGGTGACTATAGTGTCCCTTTAAGGCATTTTTATATATTGTGGGGATATTGTACAGGTATACACAGTTGTTCAAAATTAATGTTCATAAGGTGTCCTGTTCAGCATGCAGATAACAAATGAAAGAAATTTGCACTTAGATTTTGAAACTTTGCATAAATTACAGAAAACTTTTGTTTTATAATGCTCAGCAAAATATAATTATGTACGCAGTAATTCATCCAAATTGCTATGACAGGAAATACATGTAAATGCCATATGTTCATAGATGTAACCGATTTAATGAGAACACACTCCATCATTAAAGAAGCACTCCAAGCACCATAACCACTACAGAACACTGGTGCTTGGCATGTACTTTTAAGGTAACCAACAGACCTTTGAAAAAAGAAAAAAAAATATTTAATGAATGGCTTTTTATTTTGTTCCAAATAAAAGTCCATATTAATGACTAGTTTTAGTGGAACCCTAAATGTCATGAATCAGGGATGAATGTGATTCAACTTTGGATAAACTCCTTATGATATGGAAGTGTGCTGACAAAACATACTAGTACATTATTTTCTGCTTTTATTCACTCACTGTGCACTCATTACAGTATCAATGCACAAGCAAATAGTGCAAGGAGGAAATACATAATGTTCTTGCTTTATTTTCTATGTCTGATTTACATCGTAGGCAATGAAAGTTCTGTCAAAGAAGAAGCTAATGAGACAAGCAGGATTCCCACGTGAGTGTCAAATGAACCCCTAGACCTAACTCTTATGGTGTCTGTCCTCACCATTTCCAACCCAGATCTCCAACCCAGAAGACACTTGTAGTCTGCTCAATATAAGAATTCTGCATTTGTCTTAGCAAAGGGAGTCGTTGTAACTGGTAGAGCGATGGCCTCCGTTAGCTACAGGATTTCACAGTTTGAAATAAAAAGACGATAAACTGCATTTATTTTGTAATTTCACACAAATACTGGTTAATAGAGGTAGATAAAACTTATAAACTCTGCAGAGGTGTAAATAGAAGGTGATCAAATGTATAAACCGCACACACTTATTCTTTGTGTTCTGGCTAGATTAGTAGGAGTCCAGCTTAATTCCATTCTGCAATTACTGGGGCCAACGTCTCACTGCACAACATGGTGATGCACATTGTTTTATCTCTAGAGCCTACTGCCAAGCTTCAGAGATACACAGAAAAATGATCAGATATGTGTTTTCGTTGCTATCTCTCTCTCAAAAACATGCTGCCCTATTAACACAATATGTGCAGACATAATACTGGAGACCATTCAGACCATGTGGCTGTATCTGTTTTATTCACCCAGAGATTAAATTACTCAGACAATGCCTTTTTGTATACCCAGCCAGTAATTTGCATAACACAATACGTTTATGGTTATCTTATATCCTGACATTAACCATTTTGCTGCTGGTCTCTAGCACAGTAAAACTAACAGAATATTATTGCACAACCCAAATATGGAGGGTAAAAAACCTAGATCAGAATGAGAGACTCCTGATTGGTGGCTCCCATTCCTAGAGTAGCAATGGTCCATCTCCTATAGCACTTGCCTGTACAAGTGTTGTGTAGTTTTTGGAACGTTAAAGGTAATAAAGAGACTCTGTCACCTTCTGGAATCTTTGTGTATTTTGCAAAGACTTGCGAAGGTCACATCTCTGCTCGGTGTGCTGCAGCCTGTGGGGTAAACAGCAGAGGTTTACTTACCTGAGGTTCTCTCTTCATGATCTTCAGTTCAGGACCCCTTATGATATCTTTTAATTGAGGGGGAATATTAAACTTCAATGCAGTCAACATGAATATTTCTATCTTTGTAAAATACTCGAATGTTTCCTTTTAAAAAAAAAAAAAAAAAAATTATGAATTTTTTTCACTCTAATTGGAGTGTTTTTACATAATTCTTTTAAATGAATGGTTCATATACTGCTTAAAATAGGGTTCACTTCCTGCATGTAGACTGACTATAATTTAATGACTGACTATAAGCTGCTGTACCATTTGGAATTTTAACAAATAATTAATTACGGCTACATAATATTACTGTATTATTGAAACCTTTTTTAAGTGTATTGGCCACAAAGTTTTCGTTTAGCTACTGACTGTTATTGTAACCTGTTTTAGACATTTGAGTAGATCTATCAAAGATACTGCAGGAAAGGAATGTGCTAGCTGTTTCCACGAAGACTGCCCCACATTTAGTACTTTAGACCATTTGTTTTGTAATGCACATTTTCATAAATCAGCCCAATGGACACCAAATATTATTTTCTCACTGAAATAAGCAGTTATGTTCCATTTTGCGCTGTGTTTACCAGGCGTCTTTATTTCACAGGTCGCCCTCCTCCCAGAGGTGCTAAACCAGTAGCAGATGGTGGTGCACACGCCTTGGGGCCAATTGAGAGGGTGTACCAGGAAATTGCTATTCTGAAGAAACTAGACCATCCAAATGTGGTCAAGTTGGTTGAGGTAAATTCTTGGCACAATCTTTTTAATATTGATGCTATTTGTAAATGAGGTTACTATGCATTGTAAATACTGTGCCCTCAGCAAGAACAATGTAATGCTGAATTATACAAACTGATTGCACACGGAAGGTAGTGATTACACAGTACCCTGTCACATACTCAGGTCAGTGTGTAATTTAAGCATACATTACTACCCTAGTGGCTTTTCCATCTCAGAATGGATTACATTCTTGACCAACTTTCTGAAGCTGAAAATTCGTTTCAGTAGCATTACATGGCAAATGGCTTTGTAACATATCCGAAAATCGGAAAATGTTTAGTGCAAAATACATATTTAAAAAGTAATGCTGTACCCATTCTGATTCGTCCCCGTTGTGGGCACATGGTCCGATCAGTTCAGCTGTGCAGTGAATATTCATGATGTGGTTTCATCAGGTCTTGGCTAAAGGTAACTTTGAACTTTTGTCCCTTTCAGAGATACTAAAATTCTTCATTTTGAGTTTGACACCTACAGCGTTTTTTTTTTTGTTTGTTTTGTTTTTTAAAACATTATACAAATTTATTTTTGTGGAACAGAAAAAAAAGTGTTCTATTTATTAAAGGCATGGGATGTTTGTCTAGCACAGTGGTAGTCAACCATTTTCTACCTACCGCCCACTAATGCATCTTTCTTGATGGAAAAATTTCCTTACCGCCCACCAGTTTTCACGCAAGTGCAGAATATTTTTTAGAAAGCGTTTTAAAAAAAATAAATGTACGTACATTTATCTTTTTATTTCTACTTTATGCATGTTTATAATGTTTTTAACTTTATAAAGTTTAATGAGAAAACAATAAAGTAAATTGAAATTACCTTTACTAGTGATTAATGAGATCCTTGAGGCTGATGCTGCAAGACTAAATATTTGATATCTGGTTCGATTTTCGTAAGGAACAAACGAAGGTCTCCTCTTTCGGTGATATTCAGACAACTTTTCTGATTGTGCATAATATGATTTCTCATCTGTGCGTCAGCTCCCCTCCTCTCCCCCCTCAATTCCCCTCCCCACCTTTTTGTTTCCCCTTATTTCTATTTTTTAACCTTCCTTATAGCAATGCCCAGTAGGAAGGCTGAGCTAGGTAGCCCACTTACTATAGCTCACTATAACAGACAGGCACACATACATACATACATACAGACACACACACAAGACACACATACAAACACACACAAGACACACATACAAACACACATACAGACACATACATGCAAACAGACAGGCACACAGACACACATACAAAGACACATACACACACAACACATACATACAAAGACAAGACACACATATATACAGACACACTAGACATACATACAAAGACACACACATATATACATACAAAGATACATACACACACGTACAGACACACACACACACACACGTACAGACACACACACACACACACACAAGACATGCATACAAAGAAAGACACATACAAACAAACACACACAAAATATTTTAGTCACCCTCCTTTTTCCTACCTTTTAGGTGCAGGAGGATGACTTTCCCTGGGGTCCAGTGGTGGCTCAGGTGGATGGGAGTCAGAGTTCCCACTCTGACTCCCTCTGCTTCCTCCCGCGCGGTCTGTGTGTTAGCTGGGAGGAGTGACGTGCAGTCACTTCCTCCCAGCTCTGTGATGTAATCACATGGGGCACGGTCGCGCTGTTAAAGCGCCCAGCGCTGACCGGGCCCCCTTACAATTCACATCCATCGGGTGGCCCTGACAGCATGGGCCACCCGATGGACCCCGTGGACGGTGGCCCCGGCGGTTTGCCGAGCGGGCCGGGGCCGCAAATGGTGATGGCGGTACCCGGTCGCAAGGGGTACCGCCGGCTTGCACCCGCCCTCCCGCCCACCCAATCTCTCAAAATGAGGAAATCCCTACCGCCCACCTGGAATCCTGAAACGCCCACTAGTGGGCGGTAGGGACCAGGTTGACGACCCATGGTCTAGCAAGTAAAAAAGTGATAGAAACGGCAGATATTTTATATGTGACAAAGAACAGAAATACAGCATATGCTTTGACGCGACGGAGTAGACACAAAAGCAACCTGAAATAACATGCTATGACATTGTCAGGATCTTACCTGATGGGGAGTCCAGCTCGCAGAGTTATACGCTCACCCTTGCAAAGTAGACACAGACCAGGGTGACCAGGTAAGACGCCACCTGGCCTGTGAGTCTGTGCACGGGGGCTTTCCAGGAAAGGTGCTCCAAGACTCAGTACAGCAGGGATAAGCAGAAGCGTGGTCAAGGGAAGCCAAAATCAGGGAAGCCAGAGGTCAGAGTAGTCCAGGAGGAAAGCCAAGGTCAGAAGCCGGAATAGACAAGAATCACTGGAACGCAGGTACGGAGTAACAGGAACCAAACAAGGGAACCAGAGTCAATGAACTGACACTGCCCTCAGGGAGAGGCAGTGTCTTATACCTGGCTAATAGGTGATCAGCCACAGGTGTGCTGAGATCGTTGGAGCAGCCACAGAATAACGTCCAGCCCCGAGTGCTGGGTACAAGGCAATATAGACTTCTGGCTATCTCTTGAGCTGATATGGTGGCTCAGAGGCAAAATAGCAGCCCCAGGACTGCAAAGTACCCTGGTTCAAGTCCGTCACCGGGCACTTCTGGGGCGACCTCGTCTGGCCGTCGGGATGTCGCGGTGAGAATCGTGACAGACATCCTTTAACTTGGGGATATTTCATGGTGTGTTTTTAGATGTATTGTTCTTTATATGTTTTTCTTATTCTGAAAGTTTTACCATATCTGAGTACTTGTATATCTTCAGCGATATTGGTGTTTAGTAGAAAGGAAAACTGCATTGATTTTTATAAAATGTATGTGAAATAGATATAAATATACCGTAACCATTAGCAGCATATGGGTATAGAGAATACTGCCCCTCCATCACTAAAGGGCTTTTGGGGTTAATTATGAATCCTTTTCAAGAGACATATAGCAGATCCTTGGTTTGGTTTCCTTGGAAACGTTTAAGCGGGATGCAATGTGTGCAAAATCTGAATAAGTGTGGCACGATTATCCTAGTTTTAAAATAAGAAAATGCTCCATATTCTCAAGTGTAATGGACTGTTAAGAATAATATTAAGGCAATAAAATTGCATCTATTAATTGGAAAGTAGTGTGTTATTAACTGTTGTATTGTCGTTGCGGTTTGGGCAATAAACCTATAACACACAACATTGTAAAGGGTTTAATTTAAAAAAAAACAACAACAACAACGATGTCCTGAATTTTATCGCAATTCTATTCACCCAAAACATAACTAGTATGCTTATCTCCCTCCACAGATCTAAGAGGAAAAGTCTACTCCAGGCTCCACAAATATTGTAGCTTAAATACCTCAATACAATTGCAACTATTGGTTTGAATGGTTAATTGCTGTTAATGAAAATAAAAATAAACAGCCCCCAAAAAACCACCAAATTGCTAAAGTACTCCGTCTGGGGCTATAGTGGGCATAAAAACGTTTTAATCTCTCAAAGTACGGCCTCCTATATTCATTTTTTGTTTTTGTCCATGGAAATGGAGTAAGGGTTAGTGTCAAAGAAAGTTATGTAAAAGTAATAGTTCAAAATAAATGGTTGCTAAAGGCATTTAAATGTCAAGGAAAATTGTAAATAGTGACTCTGGTGGAATGGCAATGATGTCTCTATCATATGGGTTGATCTGACCTTCCTTTTGAAGCCAGAGGTAAGTGCAAGAAAGAGGCACTGCTATGCTATGGTATTGATGCATTTTATTATTTTTATTTATTCATTCATTGTTAAAAAAATAAAATAAACTTTGATTTGTAGTTCAATTATCAATCTGCTGTGTATGAATGACAGATCCCAGATCTTAGCTATGCTTCGTGTTGACATATACAACTGTTTTAGTGGACATTTCAAGATTGGAGGGAGGACAGAGAGGGCAATCACCTACACAAGTACAGTAACCAGTAAAAATGAAGTATTATTTTAGAATGGGAGAAGTGGGTCATAGGAGGCAGGGTAAAATCAGTTGTCGCACAACTTGGACAAAATTGTCATAGGCATCCCAGAGGTGTTCCAGGCTGTCCAATTACCAGTTGAATTTTTTACAAAACGTTGCCAATATAGCCCTGTGTCAGAGATGAAAGCAGGCCCTGGATGCATTGGTTAAGATGCTTTTGGTAGACTGACCTTTTAAGATGCAGAATGCTGCAAAACCTTTATATATCTTAGGGAAATTGATACAAATTGGGCCTGCAAAAGTGTAAATTTAAGCCACACAGTATTTGCTCCTGGAGAAAGTCCCTTTATTTATGGATCTGTAAGTGGTGGTGATTGACTAGTTGCAGTGGATCATGCATCTCTAGTGGAGACAAATGTTTGTTACTACGACGTCCACCTATATCTTTATGTCTCTCACTTTCACTCAACACCTTTGTTTCCTGTCAGACCCTTTTTTTTATTATTTTTGTTTCGCACACTGCTAACAACAAGCAAGCTCAAGGTGCCCCGACAGCAGTCCTCGAGCATAATACCTTGCAGATCAACAGGAGCAGTGGAGAAACATGCACATTTTTAAATATATTGGTAGGGTAACTGTAGTAAGTATGTTCATATACTAAGCAGTTCAGGCTAGTAGTGAAGATACGAGGTTGCGTTATGTTTGCTTAGGCTACATGTTTAGACCAGACGTTTAAATAACCATGGGTGCCAAATCATAATGTGTATGAGTATGTGGTACCGGTCGGCAGCTACTCCCCCTGACCGGTATGTATTTAGGTGCTTCAGACTTGGGTATGTCTGTCTGTGCCAGCGTGTGTTAATGCCAGTTGTGTGCTTGGTGTGTGTCTGCCTTGTGCTGTGCTATCTCGGGGGAGCTGTGTATGCAGGCCGGCATGTGAGGGATCTGTGGGATAGTCCGTGTCGTGCTTGGGGGTAGGTCCCAGATCAGCCGATGCCCAGCTTGGTAGCAGGCATGGAGGGTTACATGTCGGCGAGAGGCAGAGTTCAGGTGGGTCATCTCCATAGCCCCGGGCTGTTGTGAAGTCCTGCAATTGGAAGCCACCAGCTCAGATCCTCACATATGAGGCAGAGTTTGTCCATTAGCTGGAGAGTGGTATGGTCACCAATGTGGGTCAGTGGCTGCTTGTGGTTCTCAGTTAGCAACGATTTTCAAGCTCTGATGCGGGAGCTCAGACAGAGCACATCTGATCCGATCAGCGGTCAGGCTCCGCCCCCTGTCAGTCCCTTTTAACCACTGTCCATCTGTCAGTGCTTCCGAGTTTGTTCCAGGCTCCATGTCTGTTCCCCTCCACTGGATTACCGCTACTTACTAATAGATCGATACCGCTTCTGCCTAATATATAGAGACCGGAATAAAAGGGCTGTACTGGCAAAGACAGTGATAAAATGGATCTTTTATCCTTTTGTCTTTTTTCTTTTTCTTTTTTTCTCGCTTAGCTCCTTTCTCCCCCACCCACATGTCTTTACCTGATAGGGATACTGTAGGCACCCAGACCACTTCAACTCATTGAAGTGGTCTGGGTGCTGTGTCCCTTTAGCACTTATTGCTGCAATGTAAAACTTTGCTGTTCTAGAGAAACTGCAATGTGTACATTGCAGCTTTAAGTCTGCCCTCCGTGGCTATCTAACAGACAGCCACCGGGGCGCTTCTGGAATCCAAACTGACATTTTGTCCTCACGGACCTCCAGCGTCAGATTTTCACCGTGGGGAGGTCTAAGGCACACGCGGCCACCGCCGCGCATTAGGTCTCCTCTGCCGCCTGACGTCCCTCGGTGCTGGATTCGGGTGAGTGTCTGAAGGGTTTTTAACCCCCTCAGCCCCGAGGGAGGTGGGTTTATTTGTTTCCTTGGCATTATAGGATCCCTTTAACTCTTCCCCACTTCAACCATGTCTCAGTCTGTTCTGATTGCTCCTGGGACTGAACCTGTTGGCCAGAGCTGCAGATATACTCTTAGCAGACTGCCGGCTGGATAGACACATTACAGACTAAATATAGAATCAATGTTTCTTTCATAATTCTGCATATCTGGAAAATATACTTATCTATTTTGTTACTTTAAAGGTTTTCCACTAAATGGGGATTGACCTTCAAATTGAAAAATTAAACTGTAACATTAACACAGTTGGAGATTTTTTTCCAAATCTGCTATTTTGTCTCACATTTTGCAATTTGGGCTACTAACATTTTGAAATTTTAGCTACTATAGTGCACTGTTTAGTGAATAAACCTTAGTGTGGCCGTGCATGTGTTTTAAAAATTATGGGAAGCCAACATGCATTTTAATGTTAGGGGCTTACTGATCAAATTTGATATATTTATCTTCTTTGCCCAGATATGTCAAGATTTTTTTTTTTTTTTTTTGTTTGTTTGTTTTGTATTTTCCTTGGATCACGAGGTTATGGTTTTTTTTTCCATTTGGCTTGTTTTGTATCTCTACAATTGTCTGAATTCCTGGCCAAAGTCATACTTGGATAAACATTTCTTTTCACTGACACTGACAGCAGTTACATTCACCATGTCCTATGAGCATCAACCAGAGATCGCAAGATTAAAGGCAAAAATTGAAATAAAAGTGGCAGGCAGCTCCTAAAACAGATTGGCTACTTACTTGGCTGTTCACATGGAACATTGCTTATTTTGGATATAAACTAAACTAAGCATGAGCCATCTTTCTGTAATTAATCATTCTCAAATATTCCGAAACTCCTGTAACGTTTTTTTCATTACCTCGGGATCTTACAGGGTTGTATTTTTTTATTTTTTTTCACATGACAAGTGCTTGACTAGCCCTGCAAGGATAAAATAAAAGTACAATCCTTTCTGTCATTTATCTTAATGTTAAGGGAACACTCCAGACCCTTAATGCACTTTAGAGTGTGTCTTATTTTTTATCAATTTGCAAAGAGTATTGATTTGAATCGGAATTGACACTTTTATACATTAACCTGGTTATAACCTTCAATCAGACAACCGGTCCTGTTACTTCCTGGCTTGGTTGGCTCAGTGGAGCAAAACTTAAGAGAGGTAACTGCTCAGAGCACCTGTCTTGAAAAGACTTCTCTGAATTGGGAAGTCTGTGGTTGGACAGCCATACAATGTCTGGACGGGGATAGAAGGGGAAGGATTTGCATAGGCTGCCGACAATAGAACTGCAGGTTTTGCAAGCTGTTTTTAGATTTACTCCCAATGAAAAAAGCATGCAAGTTATAATTTGAAGTATATCTACTAAACAATGATTTAAAAAAAAAAAATCGTATTTGGGTAGTGCAGTGTCTCTTTAATATATTATTTCACATTTGTGGAATTCAGTAGTAGACACTGACTGCTTCTTGGAATTCTGGTAGGGACAGATTTAGTTTGGCATGTTCTTGTCTTGGTATTCTAAAATTAAACAACATTTTGGGACATTTGCTGCATAACCCGTATTATTCACTAATTTGTGAATTGTTGTGAATTTATAATGTATAAGGCTAAAATAATTGAATTGGAGAATATTTCTAAGCCAGCTATATTTTCAGTCCTTTTTTGGCTTCAGATTTGAACTTCACTTTGAAAGTGATAAAAGGGAGGAGATGGAAAGAATGGATACTTGCTTATAGCTCTCCCTCTATGTAATACCACTCTCTGGTTCTCAGCAGATTCAGATTTCTTTATTTAAAAAAAAAAAAAACTAACTAATTGACCGTGTAACATTAAGATTTAGTTTGTAGGGCTTTATAAGAAAATCTGCTTCTGTCTGATTTATAAATGTAACCTTTGACCTGAAATTACTAACAGACCTAAGAATTTTCCCTTGACATTGGCAGGTGAGCTTACACTTGCAATTAGACGTGTTAAAATACACTGTTATGCCTGTGGCTCATAAGCCCAAAATGACGAACTGGAGGGAGAAGAGACGCTCTATAGCTCTTTCTTTTACTTTAAATTTTTTTTACTTTTTACTCTATTCTTTTTATCTTGCATCTCCTCCCCAGCATTAACAGAAACACATTACCATCATAAACAGCTAAACATACAACCTAGAACAAAACAAAAGGGCAATAGTAACGCCCAAGTCTACAGCTTTCCCAACGGATGACAACCGAGGTTGCGGCCCCGGGCCAATAACAGAGCCTCGGGAAATGACCCCCTGGGAAACCCCTTCAAAGCACTCAAACCCTACTCAGGCCCACATTAAGACCGGAAGGTACATCCCGCACAGTTACTATTTGCATGTGTTGTTAAGCAGAAATGACCACACCACCCGATATCACGCAAACCAGGTACTCCACTCATTTGACTTCACCCAGTTAATTTCCTAACTGTTATTGTTCGTATTGTTACTACTGGACCTCCTAATGCATTCCAGTGCAGTAACCATATTACACTGACTGTATAAAACTCAAAATAAAGAATTTAAAAGTAAAAAAGCACCGTTATGATAATGGATATAGGTGTTTGGGATAGTGTGCAGGTAATGGTTTTAGTTTGGTGTGCCTACACTATTTATATGGCACCTAGTTTATATTCTTGATTTCTGACCTTGGACCCATACCATACTTTACTCCAGATCATCCCAACACATCTTCATCCTTCCCATCACCAGGGTATTGAACCTGTCAATAACATTACAAAGCCTTACAAATTTAAAGAGTGTTACATTGGAAAAAATAAATAGAAATAGAATGGAGAAAAAAATGTGTGTGTATTTTTGTTTAGAGGAAATACTTGCTAGCGTTAAATTGCTTTCCACGCAATATATTCTGTTGTGCATTTTTACCAAGCAGAGCGAATGTGAGTTTTCATATAGCTTACATCAGTCATTCTCTTCTGTTGCTAGGTGCTGGATGACCCCAGCGAGGATCATCTATATATGGGTATGGAAGCTGTCTTATTCTTATGTAAGATCATAGAACTGAACAAAGAACTGATAGCAAGCAATCTCCCTGCTCTGATCTAAAGCGTGTAATGAGTACATGCATGTAAAGGTTAGGCAATCAGATGTCCCTGTTAAGGGAGATACTGAGAGAAGCTGCATCCTGCAGGGTAGCTTTGTAATCCTGCCTTTTCTATAGCCACGTTCATTTAAAGGATCAATCTTGTCATGTTCAGAGGACTTACCAGTGTGTAGGTTTAATGAATATCCCCACCAAGTGTGCCAGGCTCATTTCCGCAGAACAAATATCAGAGGTAATCCACACTTGAGCACTTGAAGATTAGTTGCTGTCAGTCATTTTTGCTGAACCTACTGATGTGACACAGGGATATCCTAAGATTTTAATTATTTGAGTATTTGTACTACATAGTGTGTGTTTTTGAAAATGTTTTTTTTCTTAAAATGAAGTATTCTGCCACAGAGCATATTTTAGATTGCGGTGATTGCTGAACTATCCCCAAATATTCAAATATATTTATAATTTTTTTATTTTTCTTTCAGTGTTTGAACTTGTAAAGCAAGGGTAAGTTGGAAAAAAACAAACAATTTTACTTGGTTTGCACATGCTATATAATATACTTATAAAAAATAACAACTACCACAGTTGGGAATCTTTTAACCCCTTAAAGATTCAATGTTGTTGTCACAGGGTTATTTACTAAAGTGAGAAATTACATTTAAGGTCAGATAAGCTGATTGGGACAAATCTAATGTTGCTGTCTTCACAATATGGTCTCTGATATCCTTGTGCCACCATAGGATATACTGCGTATTTGGTTTATGCAGTCATGCAGTTATGAATTCAGAGGGTCATTTTTGAAATACAGTCAGTGAAAGATAAATCGTTAAATGACAGCCTATATCAGCCCTCAGTGCACACAGTTCATGATTTATGAATGTCCTGATTCTGTTCCAATTAGGATACTGGCAAACATGGACTCTGGTTATTGGGAACCTCTGGATTGGGAACCTCTAAACCAACATTAGCAGTGGAGCCCTTGAGAGTAACCCCAGTACTGTGGAACAGAAGATACACTGTTCCAAATGTATAATAGCTCAAAAAGGCACATGGATTTGTTCCTACTACTATATAGAAACATAGAGTGTGACGTTAGATAAGAACCGTTTGGCCGTTTTTTTTTTTAATTCTTTATTTTTGCGTGCACAAGACTTATACATGGTGCAATGTATGCATCGTTTGAGAGGGTAACAGGTTTTAACATTGGGTAAATAATGCATTTGATAAGTTTTAGCACAATTTTTGTTAAGTATAACATGCGTCAAATCCTAGGTAGCGGTTGGGTTCGTATAGGGGTTTAGTTGTGCAACTTCTCACTTTATTGTTTAGTGTGTGTGTGTGTGATATTAAAGTGTCATCGTTGTGCCGTTGCTTTCACGAACATTTGATTTTAACAGGAAAGTAAAATAGGTAATCACAGCACGACTTGTGTCATACACATTTTAACTGTCTTTAGGTCTCTCTCTTTTATTGTCACCATAACAACGGCATGCAGGGGAATTAAGACCTTTTAACCCCTACACTGGGAATAAACATGCACAATTAATCTGAGAATGTGTTGTGTCCTATTATAAAGCAATGTATAGATTGTGGTAGGAAATGTATGTCTTTTATAACACAACATACATTCCTTTTACTTTAGATATTGCACTTTATAATGATCTGAATGAGAGACTGTTACTGCAGTTAGTAATAAACTGCAAATATTCCGAATTGTGGATCATTATTTGTAAACTGTGTTTACATTTTAGGAACTTTAAATGCAGCTAGACTTAAATGGTTATATACTAAAGTGAAAATTCGAAGTGAATGTCCAATTCAAGGCCAAAGTAGCTGAACTGAATTTTTGCAGATTGGCTTTTTTGCCCTCAAATTCACTTTGAATTCTCACTTTAGTGCATAACCCTGTAAATAATAATAAAAGTAAGAATTTGCTCCAATAAGCCATATACAATGTAGCAATGTTGCTATAAGTATTCTCTCCAGCATCACTTGAATCACTTCCCTATAATGTACGGATTACTAACAAAATATTTCATTAATCTGTGTTTGGATAGGCTAAAATAAATTTCCAATTTAAAATGTTAACATCTTAATTTAAAGAGAAACTATAGTCACCACAACAACTTTGGCTTAATAAAAGCAGTTTTTGTGTATAGATCATGCTCAATTCACTGCCATTTAGGGATTAAATCACTTTTATTTCTGTTTATGCAGCCATAGCCACACCTCCCCTGGCTGTGACAGACACAACCTGCATGTAAGCAAAATGGTTTCATTTTCAATTAGATGTAACTTACTTTAAACGTTTTTATCTCATGCTCTAATTGCATACAGGAGGCTCATGCAGGGTCTGCATAGTTATTAACAGAGCAGGAGACAAATTCTAAATTAAACAGAATTTGCAATAAAGGAAATGCAAACATTAGATCTCTCTTTACAGGAAATGCTTAGCAAGCTGTGTGACACATGCAGGGAGGTGTAACTAGGGATTTATAAACAAAGTGATTTAACTCCTAATTGAGCAGTGAAACTGCAAGGGCATGATCTATATACCAAAACTGCTTCATTAAGCTTAATTTGTTTTGGTGAAGATGGTATCTCTTTAATATTGACTGTCTTACCTTCAATTATAATATTGTTTCTTTAATCAATAAAGGCGTATTCTACTTTTTCCAAATATGACTGCAACAATAATATTTAGGACAATTATTTTTAACAGGGGAGCAATACATAATGAAATTAAACAAATACAAATCCAAATTAAGTCCCTCTTTTACTAATGTTTTAATTTATAAACCCACTTCATCTCCTTTCTCCCTAGGGAGTTTTTAATATTAACACCTCTCCACGTAACCTTGCATTGTCTAATTACTATAAATGTTTTAGGCAGTCTGGGAACTTTATTGTGATTTCGAAAATGCTTGGAGACAAATTTCTATTTTTTAGTTATCTAGTTATCACACCTATATACTGGAATCTAGGGATCGACCGATTATCGGTTTTACCGATATAATCGGCCGATATTCGGTATTTTCGGCAATATCGGTATCTGCCAATTCATATACCGATATTGCCGATAATACCTCCTAGGACCGCCAGGCTCATTACAAGCCCGGCGGTCCTGGGGGGGCGGAGAGCAAGCGCTTACTCACCTCCCAGCAGCTCCTCCAGCTCCCCAGTGTAACTCTTGCGAGACCCGCAGCCGTCAGAGCGTTGCCATGGATCACCATGGCAAAGCTCCGCGCGACACGCTGGCCGCGAGAGTTACACTGGGGAGCTGGAGGAGCTGCTGGGAGGTGAGTAGGCGCTTGCTCTCCGCCCCCCCCAAAGCTCAGCCAATGCCACTGGACCACCAGGGACTGCTATATCCCCCCTCCCTGGCCAGGCAACAAGCAGGGAGGGGGGACAACAAAAATAAATAATAATTAATTAAATATAAAAAAATTATAATAATTTAATAAAAAAATGCCACACTCCATTATACACACTACACAAACACACTGTGTATATAATGCAGTGTGTGTGTTTGTATAGTGTGTGTATATAATGTAGTGTGCATTATATACACACACTATGCAAACACACTGCATTATATACACACACTACACAAACACACACACTGCATTATATACACACTACACAAACACACACTGCACAAACACACACTGAATTATATAAACACACTACACAAACACACTGCATTATATACACACACTATACAAACACACACACTCTGCATTATATAAACACACTACATTCACTATACACACACTACACAAATACACACACAGTCTGCATTCATTATATACACACACACTTTGCATTTAGTATATACAGCATTCACTTTACGCACACTACACAAACACTCTGCTTTCATTATATACACACTACACTAATACACACTGCATCCACTACACACACTAGACAAATACACACTGCATCCACTACACACACTAGACAAATACACACTGCATCCACTACACAAACACACATTGCATCCTCCACACACACTACACAAACACACACTGCATCCACAACACACACACTACATCCACTACACACACACTACACAAACACACACAGCTCCCCTGTCACACTGCATCCACTACACGTGGCATGTATATTTTGTGCATTTACCTTTAGAAATAGTTTTTATTTTCCAAAATGGTAAATGTACAGAATATCGGCAAATTATATCGGCTATCGGCCTGAAAGTTCACATAATATCGGTATCGGTATTGGCTCTAAAAAATCAATATCGGTCGATCTCTACTGGAATCCTTAAGGACATTCGAGTAAATAGATAATATCTTTCAAACTACTTGAAATCCTTTCTCTCCAAAACAAAACAAAAAAAGAAACGTTAATACATTTCAAAATGTAAAAGGCATATAAAAATATTTATCAAAGGAGCAAATGCACACATCTACTCAGGTGTCATTCTCCTAGTTAGCTGGGGCCTGTGATCAGCTATCAAATCCTAACCTGCCAATATGCATCTTAAAAAGTACAAAATAATATCCTTGGATTTAATGTTATTGCATATTTTACTTTCAGACCTGTGATGGAAATACCAACAACAAACCCATTTTCAGAAGATCAAGGGCGTTTCTACTTCCAAGATCTGATTAAAGGGATCGAGTACTGTGAGTCCTGGTAGTATCACACATATGGAGCTTTGGAACTTATTAGCTTAGAATTAGACAAAATTATTAGAACCGTAATTTACTATATTGCATGGGTTTGCTCAGGGAAATAGGAGATGCAGGTGTAATATTGGTAATTTGTACCTAGTGCATTGGTCAAACACTCCAAGTGGCAAGTGACTCTAATTTGATGTACTATACAGATAATGCATAAAATAATCTGATAAATATAGCTACATTTAATGCTGCTGTTATATTTACATAGGAAAGTAACAGGAGACATTCTCTTCTGGTCCGGGATGACACTACACTAATTGGGAGCCTCTCATCCTGCTTTATAGGGGGCCAACCTGTTGGGGGTGGCCACTGGGAAGTTTCCTAATAGGCAGAGTCTAAACAAAATTGCACTTACATTTCAACCGATGAGCACCTCAATCTTCCTTCATGCATGTGGGTGCCAGGTATTGTCCCATAAAATCATGCGTAAACATTCTCTTTAACAGGCAACCCACTGGGAATTATAGGCCATTTTACTTGTTCGCTGTTTGCCAGTCTGTGCATTACTTATCACCTTTGATTGGTTATTTTAACTATAATGATCCTTCTTCTCTAAATTAACTGCTCCTTTTAGGTCCGCACCTGTTAACTAAATTTATTGCAGCCAGTCCACCAATATAAGACCATAGCAGGTGGTGGATGTGGATTCTTGTAGGGATACTGTAGGCACCCAGACCACTTAATCTCATTGAAGTGGTCTGGGTGCAATGTCCCTGTCATTTTAGACCTGCAACTACATACATTGCAGAGAGACTGCAATGTTTACATTTCACGGTGTGTATTCCTAACCTGCAACTACATACATTGCAGAGAGACTGCAATGTTTACATTTCACGGTGTGTATTCCTAACACTATAGTGTTCCTTTAAATGTATGGTTTATTCAAGCACTTGATAAGACAATGTTTCAACTCAAGTGTGGTCTTTCTGAAGCTTACGTAAAACCTAAGATGTGATTGGAAATGTATTATTATAAAAATGGTAGAAAGTGTACTATAAATACCATAATAGCCCTGTGATCTTCCTCCAGCCGGCATCGGCTGAGTCGCACTCAAAGACTGGGACTTACCACTCATCATTCCTCTCCTCACGGCTTCCGCTGACACAACTCTGTCTAACCACATGAGTTCTCTTTATCATAATGCATTAATCGCTGGCCTCCCCCATCACCCTTCATACCTCCTAGGGGACTCAAGCTACCCAGTAAGGCGTCCCTACACCCTCCTGCTGAACTCTCTTGCAGTGGCTACCTCTTACACCAGCTACTCTTATAAGCATGTCTCATCTCAAATAGCACTTGTTATGCCTTTCTAGCTAGCTGTACTTAGCAGTGATACAGTTCAACGTATTCCTCTAGACACGACTTAGTCTAGTCTGACTCCTGAATATGCAGCCCACTAATCTTAGTAAACACACAACCTGTATACTGTATATTAGCTAGATAGACGAGATTAGCCAAGTTCCGACCCTGTCATATCCTAAGCCAAGCTAACTTTTACTTTCAGTTTTTTGTCATTATGACGCTTAAGAATAATCCTGTCTACTTATACTTACAAAAAAAGTGCACTGTCTTATTAATGCCATGTGATCATATGTGAATATTTTAATTAAATAGTTTTTATTGGTTTTATCACAAAATACATAAAACTCAACTAAATACAAATTTCTTGACAATAATTTCACTTTGACACAACGTTACATAATACATACAAAACAATTGACCTGTCAGTTTACAATATATTATACTATTATAACACAGTACAGGTATTACCCTATAACTGTCAATTGCCTCGACATATTGTCCTCATCCCGGCTCTTATGCAATTTTCCCTATAACAAACACATTCCCCAATCCTCTATCTTAATCAATTTTTAACACCCATACCCTAAAAAGGAGGATAAGCTGAAGATATGACCAACTTCTATACTAAATGAGTAGACTCTATACAAATATATATAAAAAATAGAAAATATAAAGATCATAAAAAAAAATAAAATAAAAATAACTTTAAGCCTAGGAGTGAGACAAATCCCAAGATGTATCTTTGGGTACCTATAAACTACCACACACATACCACATTCATTGTTCCAAGGATCTAAAGGGACGGTGGGCTGACGAAGAGGAGTAACTATAATAAGATTAATCCAAGGGTCAAACCGTAATCATCCCAGAGTGCCCATCTATATTCCGGATCTGTAGAACCCCTTAAGTACCCATCTTCTCTTTCTAATGTTCTATTTCTCTGCATCACCCTCTCTACTTCTGACCACTTTGGGAGCTCTCCTCCCTTCCAATTTACAGCAATTAACCATTTAGAAATCGATAGACTCTGAAGGAGAAGGGATTTTAATTCTTTCATACGATGACAAGGTAAAAGATGGAATAAAGCCAGTTCTGAGGTTAAGTTAATATTTTCACCTGCAATTCGAGATATCCCAATATTTACCTCCTGCCAGTAAATTTGAATGTAGGGGCAGGACCACCACATATGCATTGCTGAGCCTACTTGATTACAGCCCCGCCAGCATAATTTATATGTGTAATCTTTCTTTATTTTCCAAAGTTTTAGCGGAGTTACATACCATCTATTTAAAATTTTGAAGTATGTTTCCCTGTATGAAACCTGTTTAATTTAACGGTTGAGGTGAAAGCTCCCACCCATACTTCTATGGGCCAGGATTGACTCAATTCTTCTTCCCAAATTCTTATACTTAGAGATTTACTATCTAACTCCCTATCTATTAAAATATTAAAACATTTTGACAGCAAATGCTTCTTATTTGTTGAGCTTATTATTTTTTCACAAGCTGTCAATTGTCTAAACTGCTTTAAATGATAACTTGAGGATGAAATCTTAGCCTTCAACTGGTTAGATTCCATCCATAAACTAGAAGGGACCTTAAAGTTAGATTGTAGATACTCAAATGAAAAAAATCGATTATTAACATATAAATCATTTAAGTGTCTACATCCCAGTTTCCACAGCCTCTCAAGCAAGGGAGACTGAATATGATCCCACTGCCAAACAGTAGGAGTAATAGGGCTTGGTAATGGAATCAGAGAATATTTACAGTTCAATTTCAGCCAACATTTAGCAATATACCAAGTTGTCGAATCTTTAATCTTTACTATGCATTAGGACACCGGATACATCATCTCGATAGATTATTGAGTTCAGATGTGTTTGTTTAAAAAAAAAAAAAAAAGCTTCTATCGACATCCAATTACTGTTCTTTTCCTCTTCCTCCCATCTCAGGATGTGTGCCAATAGGGCGGCTTCCTGATATCTCTTAATGTCTGGGTATGCTAACCCTCCATTAGAGAAATTTTTAACCAAAATCGGTATCTTAATTCGCATTCTTTTATTCTGATGGATAAATAGATCAATCGCCCTCTGCAGCTTACTAAGCAAATAAATGGGACACTGCCAGGGTATACAGCGCATGATATAGATGATCTTAGGTAATATTGTCATCTTAATCGCTGCTATTCTACCCGACCAGGAGATATTGAGATTTTTCCATGTAGCCAAAATTTGCATTATATTCGAGTAAACTAATTGATAATTAACTGTTAGTGTTCTTTTCATTTCAACAAAGAGTTTTATCCCTAAATGAGTTATTGAATGTTGCCAGTTAAATGGATATAATTGAATTAATGCATTTTTCACAATTCGTCCCATATTAAACGACAATGCTTCAGATTTCTTTACATTTAACTTATAATTGGAAACTACACTGTACTCGGCTATAATATCTTGAAGAGCTTATAAAGATTTTTCAGGATTTCCTAGTGTTATTATTACGTCATCCGCATAAAGGGAAATGACTTGGTGCCTTTGGTTTACTTCTATTGCTGTTATATCTGAAGATTCCCTAATCGCAATTTCCAACTAATGGAGATAGTGGGCAACCTTGCCTGGTGCCGTTTGAAATACCAAACCTCACTGAACGAAAGTTTTGGCCGATAACACTAGCAGTCAGTGAAGAGTATAATGCAGCTATCGCCTGTTTAGACAGGGAGAGGAACATAAAGCCCCATTCACCCTGTCAAAGGCTTTCTCAGCGTCAAGTCTTACGAAGATTGCTGCTATTTTATTATATTTGATTACTGAGATTAAATTTAATAATTTCCTGAAATTATCTGAACCCAATCTCCCCTGAATAAAACCCGTTTGATCCAAATTAATCAGTTTGTGGATATATTGATTCAATCTCTCCGCCAAAATTTTAGCGTAAATCTTTATATCCACATTGAGCAGAGATATAGGTCTAAAATCACTGCATTCTGGTGTTGGTTTATTTGTTTTAGAAATTGTTATTATTTGTGCTTCCAACAACTCCGGGTGTGCTTGGCCTGTTTTCTTAATTTCATTTAATGTTTGGTACAGGTAGTTAGAGATCATATGTGAATATAAACCTGGTTGCATCAGCTGTTGTGGCAGTGCACAACCTCATGTTACTACTTATCTGCATGAATAAAATAAAGAATACCATAATAGACATCAACCTATATTAATAAGATAATCTTTTTCAACAAAAGTAAAATAAAAAACAAAAAGTGATCGATAGTACAATGCAATATATATGTTTTCCTTTACAGTGCATTATCAGAAGATTATACACCGTGATATTAAACCATCTAACCTCTTAGTGGGAGACGATGGTCACATTAAGATTGCAGACTTTGGTGTCAGTAACCAATTTGAAGGGACCGACGCATTTTTATCAAACACAGTAGGGACGCCTGCTTTCATGGCTCCTGAGACCCTGTCTGAGACACGCAAAATATTTTCAGGAAAGGTAACTGTCACCCAGACTCTCTTTCTAAAGAGCAGGTACAGACTTAATAGTTGGTTAAGTGTGTGTATTGTTGTTGGTGTTTTTTTATGTTTTTTGTTTTTTAACCTTATATCATTTGTTCTAGAACTAGTTTGTAAAATATAACTGTTATACAAGATTTTCCGATACGGGAACTCAAGTACATCGGATATATTAAAAATGTGGGATCCTCCACAAGTTGCTGCTCTTCAAATCCATATAAATATCTGCTATTAAATTGTTTTGTGCTATCTAATATCCCCAATCCCTCTCCTTGTATTTAATTTGTTTGAACATTGTGGAGAAAGACAGAGGATGTAACACAAATGCTGGACTGTAAATATACCGCCTTCTGCAATTCTTTATATTTATTTATTTATTCTCCTCTTATATTTTAAGGCTCTTGATGTTTGGGCTATGGGAGTCACCCTGTACTGTTTCACGTATGGTCAGGTAATTCACACTCCTTGTTTGCTATTAAACACATGTGTGTGTATCTTAACCCTTGCAAGACTAAGCAGAACTTTTCACTGTTTCCTTGGTAAAGGAATTGGTTAAGATATTGAAATTGGTAAAGGGTGTTTGGTTTTTGTTTCTTTGTTTTCTGGGGGGTTTTTTGTGTCCACACAACTTATTGCATCATGCACCTTCTTGTAGGGAGTCTTAATATGATTATGCACCACTTTTATATGAATCTTTTATCATACACATAGGCTCATGTTATAGTAATGATTGATGTTGCATTTATAATGTATGTTTTTCAAAAGTAAAACAAATAACAGTAGTAAAAACACAGTAATTACAGCAGCATAACATGCATTATAAGTGCAATACAGTTCAAAGATTGTAAACAAAAAATAATGGGTACATAGTAGGAGTTTGGAGACACCCCCTCAAATATTGACACAACATTGTAGTCAGGATTTTATTTAGTGTGTGTGTGTGTGTCACTTTTACCTGCCTGCAGTTTGTTAAAGCATTTTGTATATATTTAATTTTTCTATTGAAATTCTATATTTTGGTGGAACATAAAACCATTTTGCAGTACGATTAACATTATTTGTCCATACCACATTTAATAGCATATAATCTACATAAGTCTTTATGTAGTATGTGGATAACTAAAAAAGTATAATCATAAATTTTTATTTTTATTTTTTTCTCTTATTTTTTTTTGTATTTTTCTATTTCAGTGCCCTTTTATGGATGAAAGGATTTTATCTCTTCATAGCAAAATAAAGAACCAACCTTTAGAATTACCTGATCAGTAAGTCCCCTACTTGTTTTGACAGTCAGTACTTAGGAAATGGTCCAATGAGTATGTCCGTGCTATCTGTCAGGTAGAAGGTGTGAATAGGAATGATGACTGCAAATTGTAACTTCAGCATTTTTATGTCTGTGAGTCTCCTCCAGGCCATAGTCAAAAACTAATGGAAGCAAAAAGAAAATCTATATGGTTTGATTTCATTTTATATCTTGTCTCTTCAGGCCAGATATATCTGAGGACTTGAAGGACCTGATTCTACGGATGTTGGATAAGAGCCCAGAATCTAGAATTACTGTCCCTGAAATAAAGGTGATCTACACTGGTATATAAAATTAAACCGTTATGTACCGGAATTCTAAAAGTTAATGGTTTTTATCCAGTCCAAGAGAGATGCCGGGCACAGATTAAATTTCCATTTCTAAATGTAAACTTGAATTCGCACAGGTTCCATTTTAATCTTCACTTACACTATAAAAGTAGTGCCATCAAAATAGCAATCAAATAATAAAGGAGAAATAAAAGTAGAGCAAGCATTGACATTGCCATAAAGTCGTGTAGGCTTACTTGGTCCCAGCACTCAGTGCCATGCATTTTGGATGAAATATGATAATGCAAAACCCTGTTTTCTTTGTCAGCATACTTCGAAATGGTTTGATCTAAAAACCAAAGGGAAGGTGCTCATGCCACAGTTCCTACAATTACACAACGCAGTCATTTAACATTTACCTGTGTGTTTCATATGTATTCAAATGCTTACCCCAATTCCACAAAAACTGTAAAAATAAAAAAAAAGAAAAGTACTGATTTGCAAAGTGGAAACACAATATTTCATAAACAAAATCTTATGATGTATTAATTTGGAGTTATATAAAGGATTTATTTTAATAAATTGTGAGTTTTGGTCAATGTCAGTTGCACATTAGAAATAGTAAGTTAACTGTTAATTTGTATATTTTGAATAATATTTCTGAGATTTTCATTATATAATTCCAGCATACGTGGTTTGCATTTGCTGTTTCATAACAAGACAGTTTTCCATTATGGAACATTTGCAGACGCTATGCTGGCATTTGCTATTCTTTTCGTTACATACCTTTTTACTCTCTAGAATGGTAGTTATGGTGCTGATCCCTGGAATAATTCTAAGAAGTCCATATTGAGAATCCTTTTTACATTCTCCAGAGTAATCACTAGCTTAAGACCCAGTTCATTATATTAATTATTTTCCCCAGTGATACAAAACAGATTTGTCCTAATACTCCTTTTTCATTTTTCTGTCCTAACGGCACACTATATATGCGTCTGCATACTGTAATGTGCTCTAACTCTTGTCATTGTATATACTATATCGCTGTTACATCCTTTTAAGCACTAGTATGAACTGAACTCTCTTCATTCCCTTGTCTGTTGTAACTGCAGTTTGATAAGATTTGTCCAGGAGATATAACCATAAAAGCCCTGCTAGCAGTTTCCTCTGGTTGGTTAAAGAACAAATCCATTGTACTTTGTGAGGAAATATCGTATTAAAATACTCTTTTTTTTTTTTTTTTTTTTCATAGTTTTCTAGACAAGCTATCACATGTACATATCAAACACAGTATTGTTTAATAATTTAATAAAACAAACTTAATGAAATGTTCGCAGGCATATTATTCATAAAGCCCTCATCTAAGTAAGTATTTAGAAACTGATAAACATGACATATATAACAAACATAAAAGGTTAAGCTGTATATTGTTGGGCATTTTGTTTCAGGCTTCTATTGGGAAAAAAAATGGTATCAGATAATATTGCAGGATTGTATAAAGGTGTTTGCCTTAGAAAAGTAGATCAGCAGCTCAGGACAACCAGCTGTCCCAGAATTGAAAAGCAATCTAGTAATTTTGTCACAGGATATTTAAGGGGGCAAAATAGCTGTAAAAGTGTGCAGTTCAGATTTTTGCACTTGAGTTATACACAGACTTGTATATTAAGATTCCAATTAGGCTTTATACATCGTACAAATGCAAAGCAAAAAAAAATACAATTAAATGTATAATGCTTGATTAAATATCACTATTTGTAGATCTCCCTTTAAATTCACCAGTGTGGCTATATTTGCCTAAATTTTGCTGTACTTGCTGTCTATAAATACTGTAACTTTAAGACTATTCTGAAAAACTATTTGTGGCGAACATAACCTCGCCACGGGCTCTTGGAGGAGCCTGCTTGCCAGCCTCCTGCCTCAGGACTATGGGCCCTGCAATATACACTTTAAAAGGCACTGTTCGGAGGGGTGGAGCCGGACCGCCATGCTGAGCGGACGCACAGAGGAATAGCTCCTGAAAACCTATCTAATCTTAGCCCCTAAAAACCTTCCCAAAGAACCTGCAGCTTTCCCCCTTGTGCAAGAAGCAACCCTGGTCCCGAGGAGAGGCTTGCCGCGAGGTTTTATTCCCTCGATGGGGCAATCCCTGTCACGCAAGATGGAGACCGCTCAGGCTGTGAGCGGGGTGGACGGCCGCTGCCCCGCTGTCCTGCCCACCAGCGGTTCGGCAGAACCAAGAAGCTAGGCGGATCTGGCCCTGTTCTCCCCCACTGGGCCGGCGGGGGTGATCCCGGTCCCCATCCTGTGACCCAATGAAGTGCCACAACACCACCGAGAGTCCGATCCCAAGATGGCGGAGACCGCATGGCAACTCCAAGAGAGCCGCCGGATACGCCCTCCTCTCCTGCTCCCACACGGGCGGATGGCTGAACCTACCAGAGAGGGTACCGGCAAGTAAGAGCCAAACTCCCACGAACTAAGGAGGAGCAGCACTAGAGTCCAACACAATGGTGGGTACTGACCCCAAAGAGGGAAAACGTTATAAAGCACAGGACTAACCTGCCACATCGCCCAGCTTCCCGCAAAGGGCCTGAATCATAATGTCTGCCCACCCATAGCCACTATGCAGGGACTCTCTCCATGCCTAAGACAGGCACCGGGTTGGACAGCAAGTGACCCAAGAAGGGATCCTAGACCCCCTTACAATACCACCCTATGGGACTATAAGCACAGTGGCAGCCATTAAGCATTCTGCCTTACTACAGTGACCTACGCCGCATACTGAAGGGTCGCCATAAATGCCGACAAGGATTCTCGCCGGACCGACTCAGGGTTAACATGGGCTTGTAATTTTAAGCGTTAAAGCACAATCCTTATTGTTGACACTACTCTTATGTTTTAAGCTTCAGTTTCTAACATGTGCTCCAAGCTTGCTCAAATCTATTATTTTCCTTCTTGTGACCTACATATTTTACTACAAGCTTAAGTGTACCCAACTATGATACTCGAATGTTATATGAATACTTAGCCTAGCATGTTATATTATACAAAAAAAATGTGCAAGTTGTCTACATGCCATGTTTATGTTACATCTAATGTAAACCGCGCTTGTGAAAGTAATCTCATGCGCACCAAAAAAATAAATGTTAAAAAAAAGGCTCTGTTCGTGTGATTTGGGATTATATTATTCGGGAACTGAACAACCACAGGAACCAGAGACCACCCGTGTGCTTGTTAAGCCCAATTGACACCTTGAGTTCCACTGCAGTGTTCTAATTGTTCTGCTGGGTGGCCGCAATTCATATAAACGACCACGAGGTGGCGGCCATCTTGTTCGCATGTACGCAGGCAGCGGAGTTTGCTCATCGAGTTCATGTAACTGAAATCGGACATTGAAACTCTCGAACATCGCTGGACTTCATCGCTTGCGTTCGGTTCTATACAACTTAGAAGGGCACTGTTCAGTGGCATAGTTCCCACGAACAAGGTGAACAAGCTACACATGTTAACTATAGATTCAGTTCGGTATTTTATGAACTTTTACACTCCCGAAAGAGACCGACCGTTTGCACTGATTTCATGGATTTTGGGCATAGGACCATGTGTGTGGTCCATCAAATAATTGACTTCCATGGAAAAACTGAACCACTGAACCGATCTGGGTGATTTTTGGATCTGTTGGTCACTCAGATCGGGGCTATGGGAGAATATATGTGGGGTTTCTATGGATTATGGGGGTACTTTTGGTATGTTTATAAACTGTATGTTTTGGTTTTTTTTTGTTCCTCAGAGATTATTCAATTATATGTTTGCTTCTCAGATAATTATCTCTCAGGCACAAGGGGTTTTTGCATAAAAGGCTGTGTGTGGTCTCCAATAAAATAGTTTACCCCCCAGCATTCAGTCTCATCTAATGTTTGTGGGGGAAAGCTATACCTGCTATAATCACTTGCTATACTGCTCTTTGGATTACTATACCTGCTATACTCTCTTGGAGGAGAGGTCTTCCCACTGGCAACTGGATCCAGGTGTTGGTCCAGGGTGGGAAGGGACGGCGAGACCCCAGCCAAGCTGTGGCGGCTAAAGAGACTATGGTGCTTATAATACTTTGTCAGAGTATTTATATCGGCAGACATTTTGTGCTATGATAGAAATTAAAAGTGTATATTCTGAGTCACTCTGAACAGACCAGACTCCATTTTATTATTTTCAAGTTAACAAAAAGACACAAGATTTCTATCTGTAAAACTAACCACTTTGCCAGAGCTAAAGGAATGCATAGTATAAACAAACCAAGTGATAAGGAGAACGGGGGTTGGATAGACTGTCTAAAATGCTAATGGAATATAATCAATTCTAAACCCAGACATTTGTGACAGAGGAGATTAAATAATAAAATTTTACTTTCTATATGTATAAGGTACCATTGTACGGAAAAGGTTAAACTTAATTCATGATCTGCCATATCAGAAATTATAGCAGGAATTGCGGACACTAAGTCTGGACAAAACTTAAAGAAACTGTTTGAACTGACAGCAAATCTAAATTATGGCCACTATAAAGATAGGCCAAAATGACGTCAAAATAGCCACCAGGAAAAGTTAACTCTTTCCTGGATAGGTATGTTTAGTGGGACAAGACTGCCCTCTATAGACCAAATACCTAAATTGCGATCCCTAGATAACCACACCTCTAGTGCTTCTATTGGGTTATCAACTGATGACGTACAGAGAGTCTGGCCCTTTAAAAGTTAGGACAAAGGGAAGACAGGGGGATGCAAAGGTTGAAAGAAGGAAAAAGAGGAGAGAGGAATTGGAAGTTTGGGGACTCCAACTCAGACATGCAGAGAAACGCAGGACAACATCTGAGACTAACACTCTACTCTTAAAACTCTAACACTTAGAATTTTACTGACTTTCTAACCAACACCACCTTTCACCATAACTCATGCACCTACAGACATCCAAATAAGTTCCTGAGACTATCTACCAATCGGATGAAATATCTACTCAACTGGTAATTATACGGTTTTCATTTAATTAATTAAATTAATTAAAATTTACTAATAGCATGATATATATGACTGGATAAATCACGGTCAGATTTCCATATTTAAGAAATCTTAGTTAACTAAAGAATATATAATTATAAACATTCCATTCTGCAGGTGGAATTAAGAATAATTATATATTGATGTGATATTATCACATGTTAGCATACCGCTGTTTTTATCCAGGTGTATTGATTTGCTCTAATATAAGATAAGATATCTTTTTAGGCGAATTAAAATCTGCTTATATAACATGGTAGATTCTCTTATTGGATGGTTCCAGGAAATGACTAATGAACTGGTTTAAATGTTATTTTATTTAAAATAACATAAGAATAGATCTTAATTACCTAGGAGATCTAGCCAGCATTGAAAGGGTTATTCTAACTGTTAGCCAGGGTTTTATGGCCCTTCGCTGTGAAAAGCTTTCTCTCTGTGAAAGATACCTCATAAATCGTGTAAGACTTGACAGAAAATGCTGTTTAGCCATTGAAACGTGTATAGCCATTCCTTTGTATTGCATATCATTTTATACTGGATATTCATTGATTATTGTCACGCATGTTACATATTATTATTATTATTAATTAATTTGTTATTATAAAATAAAATCTATTTTTATAACAACATTGTGATATTATTTAAATGAAATACTTTCCACATAACACGATAAACGTTCTTTGGGGTCTGAGAATTGAATTAGTGGGCAATTCTCACTGTTTATTATTATTATCCCATAAATATCCCCACAACTTGTTGATACTAGGAAGCAGCGGGGGGGTACCTAGTATGAGTGCCAGACGGTCTGCCACACTATCATTTTATATTGTCAGTCCATATCGAATCTTTGTCTTTATCCTGAATTCTATATAGACAACTATGAGTATTGAACTTAAAATTAAGAACGTTCCGGTGTTCTGTTCAATTTAAACATACAAACAATGTATATGTTCAACTTATTGTTTCCAAATGTTTAGCAGATAATCTCTTCTTTTATTTGTCAAGTTGACTTCTCAGTTTAAGTTCAAAATTTTCATCAAAACTTGATGAAAGTTTAGACCTGGGGTGTCCAACCTGCCGGCCCATGCGGCCCAGGACCGCCAGCAGTGTGGCCTGGTTGCAGTCTGGGTAGAGAGGGACTGGAGTGGCCCACCCGGGCAGACAGCTCTAAAAATTAAAAAAATGCCATTCAAGTAATTTTCTCCTCGGATTGTGACAGCCTGTGTCAGTCCGAGAGGATTAATGAATGGGGCGCTGGGGGCTGCTGCAGCTGTGTTTAGGGTGCTGGCCGCCAGAGAGAGCAGTGTCAGGCTCCCTTCACAATTTTCGGCAATTCCGTGTCCATGTTCCACCACTGCACACAAGCGCCGCCTCCCACAAATAAGTCCCACCCACACATGCAAGCTCTGCCCCCGCACTCAAGCAGGAAGGGATCAGGAAATGGCTCCCAGTTTCTTCAGTGCCAGGTAAGCTTCAGCTAATTTGTCAGTGACTTTGTGTGTGCTTGCTAGTAAGTGTCAGTGAGCTTGTATGTATATATACACACTACATAGCACAGTGATTAATGTAATTTTTGTGTGTGATTTGTCAGTGATTGTGTGTGGTGTGGGGTCTGTGTATGTTTGTGATTGTGTTTGTGTAAGTCAGTGATTATGAGTGTGGGTCTGTGATTGTGTGTGCATATCTCTAATAATGTGTGGGTCTGAGATTTTTTGTTTGTAGGTATGTGATTGTGCGTATAGGTCTGTAATTGTATGTGTGTGTGGGTCTGTGATTGTGTGTGCATGTATGTGATTGTGTGTGTGTGGTCTGTGATTGTGTGTGTGTATATCTGTGGTTATGTGTGCATATACATGTGCATGTATTTAGTAGATAGCTCCTATATTTGGTAGCCTTAAATATGGTAATTCCACATAAGGATAACAAATAAGGGAGTTATCTACTAAACAAAATTAATAAAAGGGGTTTTTATGTTTTATTATATAAATTAATTATATTATAGATTGTATGTGTGGCCCCAGACAATTTCTCTGCGCTCAATGCGGCCCAAGGAAGCAAAAAGGTTGGACACCCATTTTAAACCAGTGATGGCTAACCTTGACACCATAAATTGTTTCAGGAATACATTTCCCATGATGCTCAGCTAGCTTTAGTTTAAACCAGTGATGGCTAACCTTGACACCATAAATTGTTTCAGGACTACATTTCCCATGAAGCTCAGCTAGCTTTACATGGTGGTTTAAATGAAGTTCAGTTACCAAGGTTTTATTTGATCACACAATCCCTTTCTTGTCTTTAATTATAACACAGCCAAGAGAGCTATGTTTGCTTTTATTGTATTGGCTTTTCTTTACTGCTTTTAGGAAAGCTGCCAAAAGCACTTTGTGTATAGAAATGTGTTTCTAGGGAATAATAAAGAAACGCATCCATTTGGAATGTTCACTGTTCTAGAAATGATTTTAAAAAGTAATGTATAAATGTGTTGTGTGTTAGTATATTACATAATGTATAATACTGGGCTCCAGTGCTGCTAGCCAGACATAATAGCTACTAGCCACTGCATCATGTGATCTCTGTTAATGAAGATGGCCATGGTCCTTATTTAATTCATAATATTTTTAGTCTTTGCACATGAATGTCTATGAGGAGGAGAGAGGCACTTACTTATGATCTCCTTCTTCTATAAATCCATCGGTGGGCCTTTTGTTGCAGCATTTATAGTACTTTATTTTTAATTTTTTTTACATAGCTACATAGCTTTACCTGCTCTACTGTTAAACGAACACTGTAGGCATGGTCTTCATCTCATTAAATAGTTATAGTATCTGGAATCTCCAAGTTCCATAATTTCATTTAGTGAATCCCCAGCAGCTGCTTGGGCTAATGAGAAATATTAGCCTGAGCAGCAATGGGAAGCTATGATTGGCTGAGAGTGTCAGCTGTCTGTTTTAGGCTATCAGAGCTCCAACTGATTGCATAAAGAGTATGACTACAAGGAAGTGTGTAATCTCTGCCTTCGCTACACCTCCAGAAGGGGCTGGACTGTGGGTGGCCAGGGATCCTTATTTAGCGTGAAACTGCTCAAACCTGATTTAACACTGAATGGAGGGACAGTGCCTGGGGAATCCACACGCTATAAACAATTTAAACAATTCAAAGAGATGAAATAGTTATCGTGACAAAATTAAAAAAATGCATTGAGCTGGCATAGCAAGGCATTGTTTTTGTCTCCGCTGATTGAAGTATAAATGTTTGTTCTTGCAAAGAATTCTGATTTTAAAATGGAATCTTTTTAGTGTCCTTTAATGCAATATTTCATTTTTTGAAGGTGCATCCTTGGGTAACCAAACATGGTGCTGAGCCACTGCCAACAGAGGATGAAAACTGTACTTTGGTGGAAGTGACTGAAGAAGAGGTGGAGAATTCAGTCAAGCACATCCCAAGTTTGGCCACAGTGGTGCGTTCAAACACCAACTAAACTCTACATTGCCTTGTATTTACTCACTCTGTACTGTCCATTTGGCATATTTTGTTCAATAGCAAAACATGCTATAGTGGATTGTTAGGTGGTAAGACACAAAAATAGGTGGTGGACATTTTATTATTTTCCACCTCTATGAAGTGCACAAGGTAAACAGCATGTAGCATTCTTCTTTAATTTAGGTCTTAGGAGACTAGCATTCCCTGATACGTATCTACAATAAGTATGACTACTGCAGTTAACCAATCATTTCGATTTACCTATTGCAGTGTTTGTCCGTGGAATACTTTGTACCATTATATCCCTTGATCTCCTGTATTCGGTGTGAAATTAGCCTTCAACTTAATTTTCAGTACTATGCCTTTATTATGTTAACCATGTGATTTTTATATGTTCTTGATAAATATCTTAGGGCAACACATCTTCTCTAAAACTGCTATTGGGTTTGCATTAATGTTCTCACTCTTACACTACAAATGTTTCCTTCCTTTCAAAGAAAGGCTTAAACAGGCCTAATAAGACACTGCAATACACATCTTGAGACTAGATATTGGACCAAGAGATTGGCAATAATGGATTTTATTTTAAGGAGACAATGTAGGCACCCAGACCACTTCAGCCCATTGAAGTGGTCTGGGTGCCAACTCCCATCACCCTTAACCCTGAGCAAGTAATTATTGCAATTATTCTAAACTGAAATAATTACCTGCTAAGGTTAAGTCCTCCACTAGTGGGTGTCTACCAGACAGCCACTAGTGTGACTTCCGTGTTCTTACATGAATAATGCTTTCCTATGGAGAGATCCTAATGCGAGCGTGGCCGTCTCCGCTCATGTGCATTAGGTCTTCACCGCCGGAGGCGGGGGAGGAGCATGGGCGAAGATGAGCCAGCGCCTCGGGAAGGGGCCTTGACAGAAGGGGAAGCTACAGTGCGGAGAAAACGAGTTAAATTATTAAATAATTTAGCCATTGGGGTTTAGTAAAATACTTCACTACTTCCATCATTTTCTCCGACCATTTTTGAAAGAATGCATATGATTGGTTGCAAATGTGAATTAATTGCTTATAGCGTTCCACATTAGTACATGGCTATTATTCCTTCACAGATCTTGGTGAAAACAATGCTCCGAAAGCGTTCTTTTGGGAATCCGTTTGAGGGGGGTAGGAAAGAGGAACGATCTTTATCTTCACCGGGAACCTACTTACGTAAGCAAACTTCTTATTTCTATATATCATTTTTTTTATATATATATATATATTATTTAAGAGACCGGTATCGATGATGTTAGAAAAGATGAATTTTAGTAAATAATTCTTTAACACAACCAGCGCCTGTAGAGGACGAATGTGATACCATTCTTTTTGGACGCTCTGTGAAGTTAATTGCATTCAGAAAGGTTGGTGTAAACTTGGGAGGGAATTGATTGGTTTTATTGAGTCTTTTTGCTGCATGTTAAATAGGAAATCTGCCAATCTGATTTTGCAAACTTATATTATGTATGCATAATGTGTTCTAGCATTTTATATAAACTGGGCAGGTGGGGAGTTAGTATATCATTTCCAGATACAGATGTATGGGGTTGTATATCTGTGTGTATTTAAAGGGATTATGTTGTACAGAATATGACAGAGTCTGTTTTTTGGGGGGGGTTGGGGCGGTTTGCATTTATTGCTCCTTCTATATATTGTTGTTGTAGTTTAGCAGGCAAATGCATAAAGATTATTTGACATATCTCTGCTACATACGTGCATGGAGAGACTTCAAGATGGCTTTGAGCAGGCAGATGCCCTCAGATTACTTGTACAGCAACCTATATTGCTTTCCACTAGGTTTATAATGGAAATATTTGCTGGTGATTTTTACTGCAAATGTATAGATTGAAATTGAATACCTACCTGATGCTGACCGTGTAATCATTGTCCCTTAAAGATGCAGTATTTCATGATTCTTACCAATTTCCTCTCAATTCTAGAAAAAAAAAGTCAGGAAATATAAGGCATACCTCCAGTCATAGAAGCAAAAGGTAACAAAAGGACAGCTTTTAGAATGAGCACTCTTACCTATGCACCTTATCTAACACAGCTTTGCATGGTACATAAACACCATGTATTATTCCAAGCATTACGAGGCTTGGCACATTTTACTGATCTTACTAATATTCAGTTTGATTTATTATGTTTACACCAGTGAAGACACACATTTTTCTTCCCATTGTGACACACAATGGGTCCAACTAATTTTTGCTGTTCTGGTACTGATGTTATATACAGAATACTACAAACGAATCAGATGCCTTTTAATTTACGCCCAAACTAATTAATCCGTCCGGGATTTACTTGTGGGGTCTTATTCAATAGCTCACAATGTACGTTCAAGCTAATTGATCCGTCCGTGATTTAACTGCCTCCACAGGTAAATCCCGGATTAATTGATTTGTTTGGGTGTAGGTTAAAAGGAATTTGATATTATTATTAATATTATTATTGCCATTTATATAGCAACAACAGATTCCATAGCGCTTTGTACCACCTGAAAATAATTTGTGCACAAGTCTACATACAGGTGATACTCGAAAAAATTAGAATATTGTGCCAAAGTTCATTTATTTCAGTAATGCAACGTAAAAGGGGAAACTAATATATGAGATAGACGCATTACATGCAAAGCAAAATAGTTCAAGCCATGATTTGTCATAAGTGCGATGATTATGGCTTACAGATCATGAAAACCCCAAATCCACAATCTCAGTAAATTAGAATATTGTGAAAAGGTGCAATATTCTAGGCTCACAGTGTCCCACTCTAATTAGCTAAGTAAGCCATAACACCTGCAAAGGGGTTCTGAGCCTTTAAATGGTCTCTCAGTCTGTTTCAGTAGGAATCACAATCATGGGGAAGACTGCTGACCTGACATTTGTGCAGAAAACCATCATTGACACCCTCCATAAGGAGGGAAAGCCTCAAAAGGTAATTGCGAAGGAAGTTGGATGTTCCCAAAGTGCTGTATGAAAGCACATTAATAGAAAGTTATGTGGAAGGGAAAAAGGTGCACAAGCAGCAGGGATGACCGCAGCCTGGAGAGGATTGTCAGGAAAAGGCCATTCAAAAGTGTTGGGGACTTTCACAAGGAGTGGACTGAGGCTGGAGTCAGAGCATCAAGAGCCACCATACACAGATGGATCCTGGACATGGGCTTCAGATGTCATATTCCTCTTGTCAAGCCGCTCCTGAACAACAAACAACGTTAGAAGCGTCTTACCTGGGCTAAAGAAAAACAGACCTGGTCTGTTGCTCAGTGGTGCAATATCCTCTTTTCTGATGCGAGCAATTTTTGAATCTCATTTGGAAACCAAGGGCCCAGAGTCTAGAGGAAGAATGGAGAGGCACACACTGCAAGATGCTTGAAGTCCAGTGTGATGTTTCCACAGTCTGTGTTGATTTGGGGAGCCATCTCATCTGCTGGTGTTGGTCCACTGTGCTTCATTAATTCCAGGGTCAACGCAGCTGTCTACCAGGAGATTTTGGAGCACTTCATGCTTCCTTCCGCAGACAAGCTTTATGGGGATGCTCACTTCATTTTCCAGCAGGACTTGGCACCTGTCCACACTGCCAAAAGCACCAAAGCCTGGTTCATTGACCGTGGGAATACTGTGCTTGATTGGCCAGCAAACTCGACTGACCTCAATCCCATAGAGAATGAAAGAGCTGAAGGCCGCTATTGAAGCATCCTGGTCTTCCATAACACCTCAGCAGTGCTACAGGCTGATAGCTTTCATGCCATGCCGCATTGAGGCAGTAATTGCTGCAAAAGGGGCCCAGTCCAAGGACTGAGTCCATATGCATGCTTATACTTTTCAGAGGTCCGATATTGTTCTATGTACACTCCTTGTTTTATTGATTGCATGTAATATTCTAATTTACTGAGATTGTGGATTTGGGGTTTTCATGAGCTGTAAGCTATAATCATCGCACTTATGACAAATCACGGCTTGCACTATCTTGCTTTGCATGTAATGTGTCTATCTCATATATTAGTTTCCCCTTTTACGTTGCATTACTGAAATAAATTAACTTTTGCACGATATTCTAATTTTTCGAGTATCACCTGTAACTCTGGGCCCTGGTCCTTACGGAGAGCTGAAAATAAATGAATAATAAATTTTAAAAATAAGACTGGGACCAGGGATTTAAAATGTGTTTTTACTGTGTAGTCTCTCTCTCTCTCTCTCTCTCTCTGATATAATAAATATTATATTTCCACAACTAGTTTAAAGTATAGATCTCTCCAGCTTTGTAGCCACTGCTATATTGGAATTGTTTTTGTAAATGTTAAAGAGAAACAAAACCTTTACCCCTTCCCTTGCGTAAAATAAAGAAAGCCATGAATCATATTCAAGCAATCAAGCATTTTATTTAACAGGACATTTTTATTGTGATATGGTTCTGCTGTTTATAGTAATTGCTGGGCTCAGATCAGAAAAACAATGATCTTTCTAAAACCAGTAGTTGATCGGGTTTAGAACACCTTTAGACCACCTTCTCCTAATTGGCCAGATCCATAGAAACACCGACTGCATGTGAGTGCTGGCGAATTAACCCTTTCAGTCCTAGTAGGGTATATAAAAACATGTTGAAATAATACAAAACAGAATAAAAAGGCTCACATGCAAAAAAGATGAGTCAAATCACATTTGTTTAGAAATTAAGTATATTGCGAAAAAATCATTTAGTCCAAATAGGAGCATGTGTTGTCAAAGTCTGTCATGGGAGGGAGAAAAACATACATTTCACTGCAAGAGAACTGGCCAGTCAAAGATGTATAACAGGATGACATTATGCAGCGATTCCAGTGTAAAAACAGCAAGTGTTGGGCGGATGAGTCTACAGCTCTGCTACACTTACCTCTTGAAGACTGAAAAAGTTAGTTTAAAACCTGGGGGGGTTCATATTTTTTTTAAACTACTACTTACCTTTATTATGTTTTAGTGTGCAAGTGGTCTGTTTTATCATTTAATTACATTTCACTCGCAGTTTTGTGTGCCGTTAAATACCACATAAATCAGTGTCGATATTGTCGATTTTCCACCTTGATTAATTCTTTTAGCTCTTTCAAAAATACTTATACAGGGTTAAGTTCCATTTAAAATTGGTGAAAGTGATCATCATAGTAACACTCTTACCAGTGGTTCAGCGAGTGTTAATGCACTACAGACCAGGCCATCATCAGGGGACCACAAAAATGTAGAGCTGATAAATCTTTTTTTATTTTTTTTTTTTTAAGTGTCTTTGCTTGAAATAGGGGTGGGGGTATACAGCATTTCTTTGGCATTCCTACCGTGAACTGAATATTGAACCAGTATGTTTGGAAGGAAGGTAATATGAAGTGTGGTCTTGTCTGTATGTCAACAGATGCAGCAGATTGCAAAGTGATAATCTTTATGACTTTAATCTCTGCTCTTTCATACTCTGTTTCCATCAGTAGTGTTTTTGTTGTGCTTTATATACAGGATACAAGGCAGCGACGAGAGCCTGAGAGAGACCGACTTACAAGATGTTGGGGAGGACGAGGTTTTGTCCTGAATGTCAAAGACCCGTTTATACCGTCTTGATACAGAAATTCCTGTCGGAGGAGAGACATCTGTGTGTAAACACACCATGACTTCGCTGTGCATGTTTCTACTGATCAGTACAGTACTCGATGAAGACCTTATGTTGCCGCATGCGCTAAAGATCATTCTGTCTTTCCTTGGGATGTAAAATCCGTTGTTAAGTCGTTAAACGTATTGATTACTTTGCTACGGGCTCGCTCTTCCAAGGGGACTGCTGGGAACTGGTCCAGAAAAGGTGCTTCTAATGTGTGTTGAAAAAAAGAAAAACGATTTGAAGTGGCTTGTAGCATATGTCTTAATGCCAAATACTACACACATACTGCTGCACTAATCTAAAAGTTATCAGAACGCTAAGTGTTTAACACGTTCACTAGCAGAGGCTTGAAATCCACTACTCTTGATATGTTCCTTGGCAGCACAATTGTTAAGGGAACGCTGTAGTTTTATACCGCAAATATATTATAATCAAATAACATACAGTATTTTAAAACATGCTGAAAATTGTAAGCACTGTAGTTTTACTGGCCATATCTCTGCCTTACACTGTAGTATATCCTAAGAAAAGTATCTGCACTTTTGTGAGTGGTGTTGTGCATCCAGTGCAGAACCATTCTACTGCTTGTAAATCCCATACAAAAGATCAGTGGGAAAGTTTAGTTGGTTAATGCTCTGACTAGAGTGTTTATTGCAACCTAAAGAATTAAACTGCAATGCCCAATTGGGTGAACTCATCCTTTCATCTTTCCAAGTTCAATAAAATGGGTAACATTGAGCTGGGTAACTATCTCCTCTATATCGTCTGTTAGTTTGGTTAATTCCGCTTTGGGGAAAGTACACAATATTATAATTATGTGCTACACTTGTGTACAAAGCTCATTTAGCGACGGCTCCCTTTCTTTCTCTGCTTTGTCAGATATCTGGCACTTGGCAAGATGCCATTAAAGTGCCCCATGCATTCAGACAGTCTTGTATTTTTTAATAGAGGAGAACGTGTTGGTGCTTGAGTATATGTGCTGTTGTGAAGCCGTTGATGACCACTTCCCTTTTCTTTCACATTGCTTGCGACACACTGTATTACCTATTCGCAGTGAGGAATATTTTAACTCAAGATCTATCTCTGATACATATTTAATAAATTTGTATATAGTGGCGACTTTTTTAAATACAGAATGCCAAACACAGGGAGAAAATGAGAGCAGCGCTACTAGGATATGCGGTGTGCACAAAGTGCTACGATAGTGATTTATTTGAAGGACATGCAATGGTACAGCAAACGTTTCAGTTATCGACCCTTCATCAGTGTGAATGCCCTCTCAGTGTGAAAGTCATCTCACCAAATGAATAGGCAAAAAGTGCTCAAAACCACCTCCCCTTTGGAAAGTCTACTCCATGCTTCACCCAAGACCCACTCCAAATGCATTCCCTGTGTAGGTACATATTCCCTATTGACCACAAAAAAACTAAATGCAATTCCATCTAATTGGCATATTTTGCAATGTGATACACAATATGGACATTTGTTCATAGAACCACCTTTCTTTGCTACCAAACGGGGCAGGAATATCAGAGATATGGTAGTAAAAACTGACACGGTTTATCAGAAGAAACAACTATTTCTTTCAAAACCTGTGCATGGTACACATCCCTGCCTTAATTGTAGAGACTGCAGTGGTTTCATCAAAGGGAAACCATGTACTCTGGACAGAGTTTCACCACTCAGCAGTGGTGGTAATAGGAACTTTTATTTTTAAGGGAGGTTAGTGGATGTGTAGACTGAATACAGTGTCACCTCATGGTCTCAATGAGAAGCTTGGGTGGCACTGGTTCCTGTAATACACATCCTCTTTGGTAGCCCTTGGTGCCCACTGCAAGATGAGTCTGGGTACCCCCTCTTATTGAATTATTCACTTTATCCTGATAATTTTGTACTGTAAATATGTTTATCTTTCTCTCTCTGAGAGCTTGATATGTATACATTAATCCAGTGTATTTATATCTATAACTTATTGAACACATAACTTCGGTGTGTTGTATGCTGTGCATGCTATCTCCCATATTCACTTGCTTTACTAAGAACTATGATGTGTTAAGTACATTTCCAGACACTCTGCTGCATTCCTCTCTATAATTGTATATGAACTGGGCAGTTTCCAGTGGTTGCCTAGCAACACCAGGTCTAATTTCTTTCACACTTTCATTTTCAGGTTTTCTCTAATTAGATTTAACAGCATGCCAGCTACTTGTGTAGATCATCTTTTTTGCAAAGTAATCATTTTTTACCCGTTTTCAGAATGTTTGAATGTATATTGGTTTTCATAGCCATGGCTGATATATGATGTCACGCTATCCTGAGAGTACCCAGAACCGGTGGGGAGCAGCAAGACTGCACCGGGAAGCAGGATGAAGCTCTTCAATCACCTATGTCATGTGAGAGGAGGTGGTTATGAGCACCTTTTAGTTATTTATTTTGCGAGGTGACTTTGTCTTGTAGGGATGAAGGGTTGGTTGGACCCCAAAACGTTTGCTGTGCCTTTCTATGTCTTCAAATAAATCACTATTTTAGCACTTTAGCACACAGATCTCATTTTTGCCTGTATTTTGCATTCTGTATTACACCCCTGATCAAGCAACATGGGCTGGAGTTGACATCAGCACGGAGGTACCTTTTGTTTAATATATTTTCAGGCTTGTTTAAAACATATATTTTTTACATATAACAGTTTAACACAAATTATAAATTCTGTTAGTCCAATAGAAAAAAGGTATTACAAGATACGGATTTTAACTATATGTATATACAGTTGCAAGAAAAAGTATGTGAACCCTTTAGAATGATATGGATTTCTGCACAAATTGGTCATAAAATGTGATCTGATCATCATCTAAGTCACAACAATAGACAATCACAGTCTGCTTAAACTAATAACACACAAAGAATGAAATGTTGCCATGTTTTTATTGAACACACCATGTAAACATTCACAGTGCAGGTGGAGAAAGTATGTGAACCCTTGGATTTAATAACTGGTTGAACCTCCTTTGGCAGCAATAACTTCAACCAAACGTTTCCTGTAGTTGCAGATCAGACGTGCACAACGGTCAGGAGTAATTCTTGACCATTCCTCTTTACAGAACTGTTTCAGTTCAGCAATATTCTTGGGATGTCTGGTGTGAATCGCTTTCTTGAGGTCATGCCACAGCATCTCAATCTGGTTGAGGTCAGGACTCTGACTGGGCCACTTCAGAAGGCGTATTTTCTTCTGTTTAAGCCATTCTGTTGTTGATTTACTTCTATGCTGTAACGGCACCCCCAGGCATAAAAGGGGTTATCAGCCGTTTGGAGATATTCCCTTCCAGATATACAGGCAGCTACTGTAGACACCAATCCACCGAACCGGAGAAGCATTTGAATGCTCTCAAACATACAAATGCTGTAAACAGCCGAATAGAAAAAAACATACAAAAGGTTTACACTCCTAGCAGTCGAACTGGAACAGCATACAATAAATCCCAAGAACGAGACAGAACTCTGTGTTGAGGGTCAAGCAGTGATCTGGTTTATTGAGGGATACCTGCCCGGTATTTATGCAGGTCTTCCACCTGGTGGACACTCCCCTAGGGGACCAGATGGAAGACTGGGACACAAATGGTAAAATGACCAATCACTGGCATACAGGGTTAAAACACTCCCACAGTACATTACAATCCCTCCCCTATATCCTGGACATAATTGGGAAGTAATCCAATTATCTCCAAGGACAGAGGCAAAACTCCATTGAGCACATGTTAGTAAAAAGACACAAAAATACACAATGTTGCAAATAATGAACAAAACATATACATTCTACCTATCCCCAGATAGCTTAGATCTGAGCGCACATTATTACCGAATGGCGCTCAGATCACATACATACAGTTCAATCGCCATGGAGCCAAAGTCTTAAACATAGTCTTTCGTTACACGAATAGGCTCCATGGCATGGTTATCTGGGGTGATGCTGTTCATACGGTTAAACTACCGAATGAACAGGCATTCGATTAAATGACCGAATGCAGAAGCAAGGAGGCTGACGGCTCAGCGGTGTTCGCGCAAATAAGTGTCCGTTTCCAGTTCCATGGTTTGGGCGCTGAACACCGCTGGCCGTTCGGGACTTTAAAATGGCCGCCGCCACGTGTTCGGCAAACGAACAAAGGCCACCCAGCATTCGTCAGTTAAGCTGCGGTTAACCGCAGCTTCTGGGAGATCTATTGATGGCACACTCCAGCTCCCAGGTGGTCCAGTCATTTGTGCGTTTGTTCGGTACATTAAATCTACCGAACACGCTGGCAGAAAGACACGAACAAGCCTTTCTGCAGGGGAAAATACAAGGTTTACCATGGGGCCATAGTCCAGAGGCAACAGGCGGGCAACCAGGCTCCTCCAATGCAATGTGGCGAGATTGGACTCGTCACATATGCTTTGGGTCATTGTCCTGTTGCAACACCCATCTTCTGTTGAGCTTCAGCTGGTAGACAGATGGCCTTATGTTCTCCTGCAAAATGTCTTGATAAACTTGTGAATTCATTTTTCCTTCGATGATAGCAATCCGTCCAGGCCCTGACGCAGCAAAGCAGCCCCAAACCATGATGCCCCCACCTCCATACTTCACAGTTGGGATGAGGTTTTGATGTTGGTGTACTGTGCCTTTTTTTCGCCACACATAGTGTTGTGTGTTTCTTCCAAACAACTCAACTTTGGTTTCATCTGTCCACAGAATATTTTGCCAGTACTGCTGTGGAACATCCAGGTGCTCTTGTGCAAACTGTAAACGTGCAGCATTGTTTTGTTTGGACAGCAGTGGCTTCCTCTGTGGTATCCTCCCATGAAATCCATTCTTGTTTAGTGTTTTACGTATTGTAGATTCGCTAACAGGGATGTTAGCATTTGCCAGTGACTTTTGTAAGTCTTTAGCTGACACTCTAGGATTCTTCTTCACCTTATTGAGCAGTCTGCGCTGTGCTCTTGCAGTTATCTTTCCAGGGAGAGTAGCAGCAGTGCTGAACTTTCTCCATTTATAGACAATTTGTCTTACCGTGGACTGATGAACAGCAAGGCTTTTGGAGATACTTTTATAACCCTTTCCAGCTTTATGCAAGTCAGCAATTCTTAATCGTAGGTCTTCTGAGAGCTCTTTTGTGTGAGGCATCATTCACATCAGGCAATGCTTCTTGTGAAAAGCAAACCTGGAACTGGTGTGTGTTTTTTATAGGGCAGGGCGGCTGTAACCAACACCTCCAATCTCATCTCATTGATTGGACTCCAGTTGGCTGACATCTCACTCCAATTAGCTCTTGGAGATGTCATTAATCTATGGATTCACATACTTTTTCCACCTGCACTGTGAATGTTTACATGGTGTGTTCAATAAAAACATGGCAACATTTCATTATTTGTGTGTTATTAGTTTAAGCAGACTGTGATTGTCTATTGTTGTGACTTAGATGATGATCAGATCACATTTTATGACCAATTTGTGCAGAAATCCATATCATTCCAAAGGGTTCACATAATTTTTCTTGCAACTGTATGTATGTATGTATGTATATGTGTGTATATATATATATATATATATATATATATATATATATATATATACATATATATGTGTGTGTGTGTGTAATATATATTTCACTACAAATGCTGGCAATCTGTTATGATAAATGAATCCAAACGCACCAATTTCGTGAAGCACCACATTAGCAGTATAGGCTGTACTGGCAATGATTGTGTTACAATGATTGTGCATACAGCTTAGATGTAACCATGTGCTATGTTTCCTGCCTGTTCACATGTAACCTCTTTTGGCTGGCTTATTTTTACCTACAGTCAGTCACCATCAAAAGAACATTGTGGTTACATTTTATTTAAAGGGAATTGACCTCATTCTTGAATATGTTCTTTTAAATGTATGTGTAATATTACATCTATGTATATTTTATAGGGACTTGGCATTTTAACTCTAGAGATACAAATTTGATTTATAGAAAGAAAATAGATAAAATAAATTACCAGCTAATAAATCTAGAGATTAACTGCGTTAATGCTGTTACTAACGTAATTAAATCTTTTTTGGATAAGTCCTAAAACATTCTATACGGAGTCTGTATGGATAATGGTCATGGCCAAAAATAAAACTCTATCCAAGCTGAAATGAATGACTGACATCAACAGCACACTAGCTGCTCATGGGTGGAGATGCATAATATGCCTGTTCTAGAAGAACATACAAGAGAAGAGGAAAAACACTTATTAAATCTCCATTGTAAATGGTATTCATAACATGTTAATATTAAAGTATCCAAAGGATAATCCTTGTATACTTAATATGCCTGTTGTACATATGTTCCTTTAGTTGAGGGATCAGATACACCAGAAATACAAAGCCGCTATGATTTTTTTTCCTTCTATTTTTAAATGTAAAACTTTTATGTAGAAGGTAAGGAGCAATAGAACTGTTGTAAACGAATGACGTATATAGAGAATGTAACTGCATGTGCGCCAGTCAGATGTTTAAAATGAGATTGTAGACGCCAAAGCAACTTTAGCTTAACAAAGCAGTTCTGGTGTATAGATCATGCCTCTGCCGTCTCAAATTATATCACTTT